CTTATTTATTTAAGATAAAACAAGCTACTGCTTATAAAATGACTCACAAACATGCAACACCAGTCAGTAACTTTAACAATTTCTTTTTGACCAAATCTTCCGTTCTCACCCTTAGAACATGACAAAAGAAGGAAGACTAAATCATGCCTGCATGTATGCTGACCCAGCAGGGATGATATTACATCCATAACATTATTAGGATGTCTCTGTCTTTCTGGAGGACGAGGAGCAGTAGAGGACGCTGGCGTTTGTTGTTTGCTGCTTCTCCGCCGTTTTTCTTGTTCTGAATAGTATTTTTCTTGAGTTTTTGCACGGATTGATACAAAATTGAAGGCTTTACTTACCTACTGACATCTCCTCCAATATCAGCGGATTGTTTGTCTGGGGCAGCCATCTAGCTGTCCCTGTCCCGATTTGCCTCGAGACGATACCTCCGCAGTTGGTAGCTAGCTGTCAGCTGCTTCAAGCCAGTCCTCCGTGCCTCGTGCACCCCGGTGCCATGATATGGACCATCTTCTTCCTGTACCTGACAGTCCTCCATCTCTGTGTTTGGCTAATGGCTAGCTCCAGGCTAACACTTTCAGCGACCGGCATAAAGCTCAAGTACTCTATCCCACAGCTGATAACTCTCAACAACTGCTCCATTCCAACGTGCATTGCCATCAAAGAACTTGGACTTTGGCCACGCGTTACATCCACAGAAGTTCCCATCGAAAGGTTCTTTACCATCAGCCTGGCCAGGCTGCTTCAAACATATACTATCTATCTGGACCACTGTCGCACGTCTGCCGCGTCATCAGAGCAGTTTCACTCTCAGTGCTCGCAACATGGGAAACATCGCAACATCTCTCCAAGCAGGCCAGAAAACATGGAGTGGATTCCAGTGTACAGAGATTCACCACAGCATCAGCACTCAAAAAAGAACTTTTCAATACACAATCCCTCACAAATAAAGCATCCTTCATGCAATACCACATCATGGACAAGGGATTAGACTTCATGTGCCTGACAGAAACATGGCACCAGCCAGGGGTTTACTCAGCGCTTTATTAAGTCTGTCCCCTCGGTTACAGCTACCTGGAGAGAGCCCGCAGCACTGGTCGTGGTGGCGGCCTAGCTGTCACACACCAACAGGACTTGGAGCTGTCCCCCGTCCCCCTGCCTACACTGTGCTCATTTGAATGCCTAGCATTTAAATGTAAACCCTGTTTCCCCATGACAATGCTCCTCATCTACCGGCCCCCCAAACCCAACTCAGCTTTCCTCTCAGAGATGCACGACCTTCTCACAACACTCTGCACCCATTACTTGGAGATATTAATATTCATTTAGACAACCCCTCCTGCCACTTTGCAGGTGAGTTTCTGCAACTACTGGACTGCCTCAACCTCCAACAACATGTCCATGTCTCCACACACTCCAGGGGGCACACACTGGAACTGGTCATTTCCAACTCCGCCCCCATTAGCAACCTTCTGGCGTATGATCTGAGTGTGTCTGACCACAATTTTCTTAGTGAAAATCCTATAGTGACGGTGTCTGTCCCCCGACCATCGAAATTATTTAAAAAGGTAAACAGAAGAGGAGCTGTGCATAAAAACCTCATAAAAATTAAAACCACAAGAGCAATAGTGCAAACGAATAGGAGAGTTAAATGGACTCACTGTTTTAACCACACCCTCGACCTTGTTTTGGTGTATGGTATTGAAATTGAACATTTAATAGTGTTCCCACAGAATCCCTCTTTGTCCGACCACTGTTTGATAACTTTTGAGTTTGTATTGCTCAACTACACGCCACTGGGCAAAAATGTCTATCCAAGATGTCTGTCTGATAGTGCTGTAGCTAAATTTAAGGATGCGATTCCATCAGCTCTAAATTCATTATCAAGTCACAAAGTAACGGAGGACTCCTATGCTAATTTCAGTCCCTCCCAAATCGATCATCTTGTTGATAGTGCTGCAGGCTCGCTGCGAATGACACTCGACTCTGTAGCCCCTCTAAAAAAGAAAATACTAAAACAAAGACGTTTAGCTCCATGGTATAATACTGAAACTCACAAATTAAAGCAAATATCGCGGAAACTTGAGAGGAATTGGCGTTCCACCAAAGTGGAAAATTCTCGTTTAATTTGGCAAGATAGTTTTAAAACTTATAGGAAGGTCCTCCGTAATGCTAGAGCAGCGTACTACTCGTCATTAACAGAGGAAAATAGGAACAACCCCAGGTTTCTTTTCAGCAATGTAGCCAGGCTGACAGAGAGTCACAGCTCTATTGAGCCAAGTATTCCCATAGCTCTCAGTAGTTACGACTTCATGAGCTTCTTTAATGATAAAATTCTAGCTATTAGAGACAAAATTCACCAAGACCTGCCCTCAGCTGGCACCAACTTATCTCTTAACTCAGGAACCTTAGAAACAGCTGTAGAACCAGATATATGTTTAGACTGTTTTGCTTCCCTCAATCTTTACCAACTAACTTCAATAATTTCTTCATCTAAACCATCAACCTGCCTCTTCGACCCCATCCCGATTAGGCTGCTTAAAGATGTTTTACCCTTAGTCAGCACTTCTATACTAGATATGCTCAATCTATCTTTATCAACAGGCTATGTACCACAGTACTTTAAAGTAGCTGTAATTAAACCTCTTCTGAAAAAGACCAAACTTGATCCGGATGTTTTAGCAAACTATAGACCTATATCTAACCTTCCATTTCTCTCTAAGGTTCTGGAGAAAGCAGTTGCTAAACAGCTGTGTGACTTTCTACAGAGCAATAGTTTATTTGAGGATTTTCAGGATTTAGAGCTCATCATAGCACAGAGACAGCACTGGTGAAAATTACTAACAACCTCCTTATTGCATCAGACAAAGGACTTGTCTCTGTACTGGTTTTATTAGATCTTAGTGCTGCATTTGATACCATTGACCATCAGATCCTATTGCAGAGACTGGAACATTTCATTGTTATTAAAGGAACCGCTCTAAGCTGGTTTAAGTCCTATTTATCAGATTGATTTCAGTTTGTACATGTTAACGATGAGTCCTCCATGCACGCCAAAGTTAGTCATGGAGTTCCTCAAGGATCTGTCCTCGGACCAATCCTCTTCACTTTATATATGCTTCCTTTAGGCAATATTATCAGTTAGCTAAACTTCAAATGTGCCTTCAGGATCTTAAAACCTGGATGAACTGTAATTTTCTAATGTTAAACTCAGATAAAACTGAAGTTATTGTTCTGGGGCCTAAGCACCTCCGTGACGCATTATCTAAAGATATAGTTTCCCTGGATGGCATCGCCCTGGCCTCCAGCACCACTGTGAGGAATCTTGGAGTTATCTTTGATCAGGACATGTCGTTTAAGTCTCACATTAAGCAAATTTCAAGGACCGCCTTTTTTCACCTACGTAATATTGCGAAAATCAGGAACATCCTGTCTAAAAATGATGCAGAAAAACTAGTCCATGCATTTGTTACTTCTAGGCTGGATTACTGCAATTCTTTATTATCAGGCTGCTCGAAAAAGTCCGTTAAGACTCTTCAGCTGATCCAGAATGCTGCAGCACGTGTTCTGACAGGAACCAGGAAAAGAGATCACATTTCTCCTGTCTTAGCTTCTTTGCATTGGCTTCCAGTAAAATCCAGAATAGAATTTAAAATCCTTCTTCTTACCTACAAAGCTCTTAATGGTCAGGCACCATCTTATCTTAAAGAGCTCATAGTACCTTACTACCCCACCAGAGCACTGCGCTCCCAGAATGCAGGGTTACTTGTGGTTCCTAGAGTCTCCAAAAGTAGACTAGGAGCCAGAGCGTTCAGCTATCAAGCTCCTCTCCTGTGGAACCAGGTTCCAGTTTGGGTTCAGGAGGCAGACACCATCTCCACATTTAAGAGTAGGCTTAAGACTTTCCTCTTTGATAAAGCTTATAGTTAGGGCTGGCTCAGGTTAGTCCTGAACCATCCCTTAGTTATGCTGCTATAGGCCTAGACTGCCGGGGGATTTCCCATGATGCACTGAGCTCCTCTCTCCTCTACTTTCTCTCCCTCTGTATGCAACCTCATCCCATTATTGCATGTTACTAACACAACTTCTCCCCTTTCCGCTAGTCTTGTGCTTTCTCGTCCCTCTCCTCTCTCCTCCTATCACTTCCTGCAGGTTTTCTGGCTCTGGAGCTGTGGAGTCTGGATCTGTGGTTGCGGGTCACCTGCTGCCCCCGTGTTCCTGCTCGACACCCTCTGCTGCAACGACTACTGTTACTAGTCCTATTGTTATTATTGTTATTATAATCATTAACATTACGACTGTTACCATTAACACTACTATAAATATCTGTACCATTTTTCATTTAGTCTATAGCAACATCACCTTTACTGTCTGTATCTCTGTGTGTGTATATTATGTAGGCTGCCTCCCTCCCCTCTCTCTCTCTCGTTCCATCCCTCTCTTTTTCTCTCTCTTCCTCTCCTGCCCTTTCTCTCTCTCTCTCTCCCCCTCTCTCCCTCTCTCTCCTTCACACCAACCGGATCCCACCCAGAGTCATGGTTCTGCTCGAGGTTTCTGCCTCTTAAATGAAGTTTTTCCTTGCCTCTGTCTCCTAGTGCTGCTCTTGGTGGGAACAGTTGGGCTTCTGGAAATAGCATCATAGAGTACGATCTAGACCTGCTCTTTTATGAAAAGTGCTGTGAGATAACTGTTGTGATTGTGATTTTGTGCTATATAAATAAAATTGGAAATCCCCCGGCAGTCTTAGGCCTATAGCAGCATAACTAAGGAATGGTTCAGGACTCACCTGAGCCAGCCCTAACTATAAGCTTTATCAAAGAGGAAAGTCTTAAGCCTACTCTTAAATGTGGAGATGGTGTCTGCCTCCTGAACCCAAACTGGAACCTGGTTCCACAGGAGAGGAGCTTGATAGCTGAACGCTCTGGCTCCTAGTCTACTTTTGGAGACTCTAGGAACCACAAGTAACCCTGCATTCTGGGAGCGCAGTGCTCTGGTGGAGCATGTGTGAAGCAAAACCTTCTGCAAGACTGGAGCCATCTTAGTCGGCACTCCACACCAGGTTCGGTCATCTGACATTCTCAGCATCACCTTCTCTAGCAAAAATATTCCACTTTCAACATCAGCCACCAACCTGGGTGTTAAAATGGACTCTCATCTGACCTTTGAGGCTTACATCAAACATCTCTCCAAGACCTCCATTTTCCACCTCAGGAACATTGCCAAATTCCGTTCCACACTCACTCCTGCAGATGCGGAAAAGCTTGTCCACACTTTTGTCTCCTCCAGGCTGGACTACTGCAATGCGCTCCAGCGGGATCCCTGAGAAAAGCCTTCAGAACCTGCTAGGATCCTGTTGAGGGTGCGCAAACATGACCACATCACCACCATCCTCAAATCACTCCACTGGCTTCCCGTCTCACTCAGGATTGAGTACAAGGTCTCCCTCATTACCCACCAGTGAATCCATGGTGAAGCACCATGGCAGACGCTTTTATTCAAAGTCACTTACATTTGAGGAACAACATACAAGCACCAACAAAGCATCAGTACAGCAAGAGAGTTACCAAAAAGTGCAATCAATACCAGTGCATTGTAAAGGGATAGAAGAAGAAGAGCACAGTGAGTGTATGTTAGAGTTTAAGGGTGTTTTCAGGAGCTTCTAGAAGTTAGAGAGGGACGCCCTGCTCTGCCGGCATGTGGTAGCTCGTTCCACCATCATGGTGTCACAGATGAGAACAGGGACTGAGATTGCTTTGTGTGTAGGGATCGCAGAGCCAGGCGGCGTTCGTTGGAGGAGCTCAGTGGCCCAGAAGGAACGTAGGCTTGTATTATGGAGTTTAGGTAGATGGTGCAGACCCAGCAGTCACTCTGTGTGCAGCATTAGTGATTTAAACATGATTCAGGGGGGGGCCACAGGGACCCAGTGGAGGTCACTGAATAATGGAGGGACATGAGTCCTTTTGGGCTGATCAAAAACCAGACGTGCTGCTGCGTTCTGAACCATTTGTAGGGGTTTCTTTACTTGAAAAGAAGAACCGGCAGTTTGACTCTCTGTGTGTTGGCAGGAGGCTAAATAACAGTTTTATTAGATTAATAAGCTAAGAAATGCATCTGTGACAATTTTTTTGTAGTAAAACAATTTATTGAGTATACTTAACACAACATAACAAAGTGAATTAAAGTTGACAACTCGAGTGTCTCAGGCTACTTCCAGATTACTGCGTTTTTGTTTAAAGATAGTTTAAAATGAATATGATCTCCGTCCACACTAGTTCTTTATCTGCGTCTCAGATGTGATCATCGGTCATTATTAAAACGACTGAAAACGCACATCTGTTGACTGTTTACGTACACTGGGCATGCGCATGTCGGTGTAAACGTGAAGCAGATGGTCTAATCTGCATCGTTTTTACAGTCCTCTGTTTTCGCCTGTCCACACTAAAACTCTACCCCAGAGTTTAAAAATGAAAAAGGTCTGCATTTAAAAGATGCAGATGGGGCCTCAGGAACGCAGGAGGAATCAGTCGCTTTTGTTCTCAGAAATGTAAATATGTCTGTCAAAACCATCTTAGATTCATGAAGATTATCATCACTCAAACAAGCAGACAGTTTCCTGTGACTAAATGTATTGTTATTTGTGTCTCTCCTGCAGGAAGCAAGGCCCAGTCGGATGGTGAGTTCTATCCTCATTCTTTCTTTTGTTCATTGGATTACTGTTTTCTTCTGAGTTCAAAACTTTTGAACCCTCAAAATGAATCCAGTCCAGGTTTGAAAAGCAGCTTTTAGTTGCACTTTTGAAGCTCCATAAGAGTCAAATACTTTCTCTCCACAGATGTTGGTTAAATTGTGATGAAGTGTGGTTCAGACATTCATGTTGGGAACTCATGACTTTTATCCAGCTTCCTTTCCGGAACTTCAACAGAAAACCTCTGAATCTTACATCAGCTCCTGCTGTGCTTCCAGCAGCATGCAACATGCTAAATATTAGCAGCAGGTGTCAGCATTTTCTTTTTAATAATATTGATCTTTATTTATTGAGCCCGTTTCAAAGTCCATGTTACAAAGTGCCTTTACAAGGGCAGAAAATACACAGCTTGTAAAAACCATCAGGTTTAAAGATAAAACACATATAACAAGAAGAAACAGATAAAAACAAGAAAAATACATTTTAAGGAATAAAAATACAGCTAAAATAAAAATAATAATAAAATAAATTCAGGTTAAATCAGGAAAGGCTCTCCTATAAAAGTTCTATGAAGAGAATCACTGACTCAGTAGACCTGATTTCCTCGGGCTGTTCCAGATCCTCGGGGTCCTGAATGTAAACTATACCTATGCAGCATTTACATGAATTTCTTTGCCTCCAGTTTGTGGCACTGCGCCGCACAACACCAAGATTGCAGGAGGGGCGGATGCTCCTGCAGGGTCGTGGCCCTGGCAGGCCAGTCTGCAGATGAACGGATTTCATTTCTGTGGAGGCTCCCTGATCAACAACCAGTGGGTCTTGACTGCTGCTAGCTGTTTTGAGAGGTGAGCTCTGATCCTGTCACATGACTTCACATGTACAATCACAGTGAGCTTGTATAGCAACAAAGAAAAATTTCAATCAAGGTGCCGCAGTAAACCACATTAAAACCATTTTTTCTTTATGTTGTTAGTAACAGTCAGACACCATTACAGCTTGTTCATGTCAGTTCAGATCTTTATTGTTCCAGAAGAGGAATTTTTTTTGCAGCATTAAAAACAAAATAAGCACAATAAGACAAGTGAAGATGCTGCTGCTCAGAGGGAGCCAATTCCCTCTATTCTGCCCACTGGGACCTTATTTCAGAAAAGTCAAGAACAATGTTTTTCATCCTGTTTGAATTGTGCCCTGAATTACACACATGATGTTTTGTACATTTAAAAGATAATCTCTACAATACATGACATCAAAAGTGAAGAAGGTTTGTTCTGAGACAGTAACATTTAGTTTTGTGTGAAATCACTTGATCTCTACTACTCCATCTCTATTCTCGCACAATATACGTCACTTGTTTAAAGATAGTTTAGTTTAAAATTCACACACAGACAGCACATGTATCCATCACATATTTAAACATGTTGTCTTTTCTGCTTCTCAGCGCCACACCCGGTCTCACCGTTAACCTCGGCCTTGACACCCTAGACTTGTCGAATACAAATGCGATGTCCCGGACTGTGTCCCAGTTCATCCAGCATCCCAACTATAATACCAACACAAACGATAACGACATAGCCTTGCTGAAGCTGTCCTCACCTGTTACCTTCACCGACTACATCAGACCCGTGTGTCTGGCGATGGATGGCAGCGTCTTTAACAACGGGACGACCTGCTGGGTCACCGGATGGGGGAACATCCAAACTTGGAGTGAGAATTTAAATTTATTCGACAGTCATTTTAAAATGTTTTATTAATAGTGAATGACTGAATGGATTAATTCAGTTTGTATTGTATTTTGCAAACAACGACACCACAAGACACCACACATTCATGGGTGACAAGATGACGTCATTAAAAGTCCAAGTAAACCAGCAAAAATGCTAAATCACTTTTCGAACTTTGTCACTATACTTTTATAGCTTTTACTGAAGTGAAATTTTGAATGTAGGACTTTTACTTCAGAAATGGATCATGGCCGTCTGGACTTTCTTTCTGAGCCTGCTGCCACAAAGACCCTGCTGTAGATCAGAGGCAGAAAATGGACAGATGGATATTTTCTTACAGTTGTTCATCTTTTGTACTGATGATTTAAACAGGAGAGTTTCAAGTCTATCCAAGACTTTAAGTGCTCGACAGTGACTCATCTAATGCCATCTATGTGAAAGAAGAATGGGATTTTTACCGCAGGAACCAGGGCTGCATGAAATGGAAACCACTGAGCCTGTCCACTGATTTTGGTCTGCCTCAGGTCAAAGTCAAAAAGCATTAATATCTGGCCCGCTGCCAGATATTGGTGCTTTGATAGCGGCAAAAATTATAGATAAAAAATACTTTGATAGTGGTGCTGAACTAGATCTCAGTCATGACAGCAACAGTTACTCACATAATCACTTCCTCTTCAGTGGTTTTGCCTAAAAAAATAAGAGAGCGAGAAGCTTGTTTACTCTAATGCAGTATTTGGAGTTTATCTGAACTTTTACTTTGAAAAATTCTGAACAACATTAACAGAGTCTGTAGCTGCTTGACACACCTCTGAAAGAGCTGTCAGAAAACATGATTCCCCTAAATGTCCTCTGCCTGGAGATACTGGGGAAATGAAAAAGCATCCGTAGGTTGATGGATGTGGATCAAACAAAAACAGTGCAGCACATGCCGTGATCTGAGAAACATTCGCTGCAGAATCCATTTATTGAAGAGAGACAAGCTAGGATCAAACTCCCAGTCCTTGAAGTGTGAGGCCTGCACCTTACCAACAGAGCTAACCAAACAACATGTTAACATGTCATTAAACATAGTGATGAGTGTCTGCACTGGCTGAATTCTACCAGAAGTAGAACAAGAAGAACGTAGTGACGAAACGCATTTTGTAGTGCTGATTGTCCGTTTTCAGCTACTGTAGAAACATGACGATGCAACGTGGCGACGTCCATGTAAGAGGACCCACGGTGATGTAGATATAAATGTCTCATTCTAAGGTAATAAAAACATAATGGTTCATTATGTAAGGTCTTTATACACCACTGAAAACTTAATGGATCTTATATTGAATTTCTTTCAATAGACCCTCAGAAATATTTGATACTGAACCTTTAAAGGAAAAGGAAATCCCACGAACAGACTCAAACCAGCAACATGTCGGCCCGTCTCTCAACACTGTCTGACTTCCTGTCTGTTGCTCTCAGCTCCGAGCCCATTGGTTCCTCCTAAAGATGTAAATCTTCACAGATATATAATTTCATGTTTAAAAAGGTTCAGTAATTTCCTAAAACAGCTGAATCCACATGTGGTGCTCTAGTGAGTATCTGGGGCAGCAGGACGGTGTATGTGGGCCCAAATTCTCTGTCTCCTGTGTCTTAGCTTGAAAACCACAACAAGATCAGGCTGTGAGACACACACTGTTGACACAAAGACAAAATACAGACCCAACATTAATGTCTCTTTTCTTTTTCAGCTCCACTTCCTTTCCCAGAGAGGCTGCAGGAGGTGAGTCTTCGATTCGTGTCCAACAGTGATTGTAACGTTACCTACGGTGGTAAAATCACAAACAACATGATCTGTGCTGGTGTGACCCAGGGAGGAAAGGGCATCTGCTATGTGAGTCTGTCTGCAAAACACTCCTCCATCAACTGATAACACACATGTTTAAATCTGCACTAATCATTAGATCTGACTGGTGAATAAAAAGGACAGTATTTCCCTCTGAGAGTAGAAGTATGAAGTATAACCGACCTGTCTGATGTCTGCAGGGGGATTCAGGCGGCCCGCTGGTGACTAAAAACGGCTCTGTCTGGGTCCAGGCTGGAGTGGTGAGTTTTGGATCAGATCAAGGCTGTGCCCTGCCTAATGTCCCAGGAGTCTACACCCGAGTGTCCCAGTATCAGTCCTGGATCAACAGCCAGATCAGCACCAACCAGCCAGGCTCTGGGACCACTCGCAGCCAGATAACAACAAACCAGCCGGGCTCTGGGACCACTCGCAGCCAGATAACAACAAACCAGCCGGGCTCTGGGACCACTCCAGCCAGATAACAACAAACCAGCCGGGCTCTGGGACCACTCCCAGCCAGATAACAACAAACCAGCCGGGCTCTGGGACCACTCGCAGCCAGATCAGCACCAACCAGCCGGGCTCTGGAGCCGCTCACCTGGTTCCCCTCTCGGTTCCTCTGCTGCTGTCCATCGTACCTGTTCTCTTCTCCTTCTCTGTCCTTTAGTGATGATTTAATTCACCCTGCTAGAGTGAAAATCCCTTTCTCTCTCTGTCTCATGGTCGCACATTTTTAGCGTTTTGAGATTCATTTACTTTACAATAAGCTAAAATTCCACCTGTTTCCAGTTATTCTTGTATTGAAAGAGTTTGGCAGAAAAGAGTCGACAGAGGAGAAGATAGAGATCAGAAACTGGTGTACTGACATTTGATACAACTAATGAATGTTTTCATGACCGTTAACAATCTGCTGATTATTTTTTCCATTAATTTATTCATCATTTTGTCTGTTTGTTTAAAATGGCAGAAAATAGAGAAAAATGTCCTTTTAAAACGTCCACAGCCCGATGTAGTCAAAAAGATTTGGACCAACAGTCTAAAACCCAAAAATATTCAGTTCATCATCATGTAAATCCTCATCAGTGAAGCTGGAACCAGACAACTCTTTCAACAACTCAATTTCTGTTTAAAAATTACTAAAATGAACATTTATTGATTCATTTTTCATTGATAAATGCATCTATGACCAATCATGGTCGAGGGGCAAGCATCCGAATTGTAATACCACCACCAAAACTAACGACGTAGCCTTGTTGCAGCTGTCTCCTCTTTTGTCCTTTCACAGGAAGTTTAATTGGTTTTGTTTAAGTATTACCAGAAGTTGTGTGGTTCTAATTTTGATTGGACTATTTTCTGCATTAATTGATTACTCATTTTGTGTTTAAAATGGCATAAAATAGAGAAATATGTCATTTATAACTTCACAAGGCCCGATGTACTCAAAGATTTGGACCAACCAAGAACTTTAAACTTGTTGGTATCGACCATCTTCAACATCATGAAATTAAATAAATAACATTTATGAAACCTGGAGTGTTAATTGTAACTTGTGTGTTTGATTATAATCTGTTAATAAAATGGCCTCTTTTAAAAAAAGTTATTTAAAGATCATTAAATTGACCTGTTAATGAATAAATAATAAATTAATGATTAACATTTTAAAAATTTTAAATAGGTTTAAAATTCAACTAATTTACTGATATTCAATCTCACAGTTGATTTGTTTCCTTTCTTTAACATTTTTGTTTCAATTTTGTGATATCACATAAAGATTTAGTTAAACAGATGAATTGTATGGTCGTAATATGTTTAACTGACACGATGGCAAATAAAATAATGCGGCTTTTAAAAAAAAATTAATTATTAATGTATCATTTAAAGACCGAAAGAAATAATTAATATTTGATAAATGTAATTCTCCTTTCACACTTTTTAAATTAGACAGATGAAGCGGTGGTGATGGTGCAATGGATAGACACATGCCTTTGGTGTGAGAGACCTGGGTTCAATTCCCCACCCCTGAGCAAGACACTTAACCCCTAGTTGCTCCAGAGGCGTGCGACCTCTGACATGTATAGCAATTGTAAGTCACTTTGGATAAAAGCATCAGCTGAATGAATAAATGTAAATGAAGCGCTCACCTCATTTTGCTGATCAACCATACTTATTAAAGGTTTATATTTGATTATTGACTTGGCTTTTCATCTATGCATGCTTTAAAATTGTGAATATGGCTGCTAATCATTTTAAATAAAATTCCTGTGGGTAGAGGAGCGATGACAATGACTCCTGCAGAGGGTAAAGTCACGGACTCAGAAAATGCACAAACTTCACACATACTGAATCTCCCTCCAAACTAAATGAGCCCTGATGAACGTGTCTGAATGTTGAACTCTGACTGGCAGATCCAGTTTGTAACAAGTCATGTGTTACTGGAGAAAAAAACAGCAACATTAAACTCCATAAAGAGATCACGTAAACCATTACGTTAAACCAGCCCATCCAGCAAGCAACTGTCTGAGTCAGGTAATGGATCCCTTGGAGCTCAGCTCAATCAATCAATCAATTTTAACCACTTTTTGAAAGCATTATAGTGCAATATAGTTTTCCCTCATATAAAAACAGAAATTTCCATCGTAACTTGGAGCAGAAAATGTCTCCAGAATGCAGGAAATTACCAGTTTAATGCTCAAAATCTGCTCAATCACTGCCAATCACGTTATGTGACGTCATCAGCAGGTGCAGGCCCCCAAGCAGATCTGACCACCCGAGCACATCTGGTACCTACACCAGTATTTACATGAAGAAATGTCCAAAATGCATGAACAGGGCAAAGGTGCAGAACTCTGTGACTGACTGTATTAGCTCCCAGCTCTCCCTGGTCCTCTCCAAACAACGCTCTGAAGCCTTGTTCTTTCTCTGCAAATAGTTGTATTATTTTTCTCTATTCTTTTTATTATTCTTATTAACTTGCATTGTTTATTCCATCCATCCATCCATCCATCGTCAACCGCTTATCCTGCGTACAGGGTTGCGGGGGGCTGGAGCCAATCCCAGCTGACATCGGGCGAAAGGTGGGGTACAACCTGGACAGGTCAGCAGTCCAATTGTTTATTCCATAGAGGGTAAATCAATCAGAAATGAAAAGCACATTATCAGTCACAGTGAACGTAGTTACTTTTGGTTTTGATATAGAAGTACATTTAACTAATAAAACATCTGTACTTTTGCTTAGTAGTTCAGTAGGATTTTGAATATAGACTTGTAATGGAGTATTTATACATTGTGGTATTGATACTTTAACTCAAGGTATAGGATCTGAGTACTTCTTCTGTGAGTGATGGATGCACAGATTGTTAAAAAAAAAACGTTACTTTGGCCTTCATGGTGTCGACAGTGTTTACTGGTTTCAAATCAAGGTCATCTGTTCCCAGGAAACACTGAGGCAGTTTAACCAGTTTGATCTGTGAGCAGACAGCAGGACTCCTCAGTCTCGGTCCAGTTGTCAGTGTAGACAGACATGAAGAGTGAATCAGTATAATTCAGCTGCTCTGTGTCACCTACTGTGTATCTTTCCATCATAACTTTATGATGAATCCGATGGAAAAGAAATGTCATTATTGTCATCATGTGAAACCTCCATGTGCAGAGTTCTCCCCAGCAGAATATAAAGCAGTTTAAATTATCTCCACCTCGTCCATCTACAACATTGAAATGATGCTCACATCTTAATACACCGATAATATTAACCTAATAATATAATACATGGTTCTTTATTTTTCATAATACAACACAAGGTTTGTAATCCCTTCATTCTGCACACACAGAATTTAACAGATAATTAAATGTGTATTAAAATATGGTAATATATAAAACAAATTAAATAAAACAATACATACAGTTACTTATATACATACATGTACATACACATATAGAGAACATTCTGCAGTACATGTTTTTTATTTGCATCTGGGAGAATGTAAACAGCAGCAACAAAATGATAATCCGGTTTCACCTTCACATTAAACAGTCTGACTTTGGGGAAACCGAGTCCATCTTGACTGTGTTTGTGCACCGAGCATCATCGAGGCCACCTCCTCTCTTCTTCAGGAGTCTTGCACTGACAGCTCGGTATATTAAGGAATGTTGTGTGATCAGCAAGGATTTGCTCTTGTAGTTGATGTAGGCGGATGGCGTTGTTTGCCAACACCGTACTGACAATAGCCAGTTCCTGTTGATGGGGTGAACTGACGTTGTCTTCCACCCTCAGAAAGTCGTCTGGCTGTTCTTAGAAAATGCAAAATCATGATGTCATTGGTAAGGTTCTTTTTTACACACTGGACGGTCATACTGTACACAGTTACATCAAAATAAACATGGACTTCACTGCACTACACCCATTTTGCTCACCGAGGAGCATAGACCTATACTGTAACAATGTTGTTGTGTTTGAACTTCTTTTCCTCCTCCTTCGTAGTGTTGCTGTTCTTCCTGGATCTCGTGGCTGTTTTCACAAAGGTCCATTTAGGGTATCTGCTTTTAGTGCCCCTTTCAGGTGGTTCTCTCCCTTCTCTTGGGCACTGGTTGGTATATTCTCAGCTCGGTGGTGCAGGGTTCTGATGACTCCTAACTTGTGCTCTAGAGGGTGGTGGGATTTGAAAAGTAAGTATTGGTCTGTGTGTGTGTGGGTTTCCTGTTTACTCCAATGTACATGCTCCAATCCTCTTCAATGTGTACTTTTGTCCTCAGGTGAAGTTGCCAACAATGGTCGTTCAGACTTGGCCTCAGTTGGATCTAACGACCATAATGACTGTCGTTACAACAGCCAAGAGCACTGACGAACCAGCGGTATCGATGATCTCGACAACGACACCACAGAGGTTACTGTAAATAGCTGAGTTTCCCCACCAGTCAGTCAGAAGTGAAGACATCTCTTGAATGAGGGACGAAACGTCTTCTAGTATTTTCAACCAACTCCAGCTGCCCTTGATTACAGTTATTATGGATAACTTTGACCTGGATGACTGAGAACCTTCACAGATAATATACTGGCAGATAACACAATGATCCAAAACAGCATCAGAGTGAATCTCTCTGCACTGGGTGAAGCTGCTGTACAGACTGCCTTTCAAAATAAACTCAATTCATGTAAAACAAGTGGGGAACACACATCCATAGCTTAAACCACACAAACCACAATAGCTTTGTAGTTGTATATTTGCTGACTTACTCCCCATTTCTCAATCCAATTGAGGACAACGTATACAGCCACCAACCACATGCCCGCATGCCTCTTCTGCAAGCAATGGAAGAGCCATGCGGAGACACCAAAATGGGGTCAGTGCAGGGTTGGATATGGCACGCATGGCAACATTCCCCCGTAGCCTTGCCAGGGATGACATTGCATGTGATGTAGATGAGGTGACGTGACCAGACCCTAACAGAAGACAGGATCCATAAACGATCCACCCCATCCTTTTACTGTAAAATACTTTGTATAACATTGCACTGTATTCTGTTTTTGGTAGTTTACAGTAACATTTTACTGGCTACTGTACTGTACCTTTTCTTTATGTTTTTGTTGTTGTGAAAATCTGTAATAGGGAAAAGAATAAACTGTATTTTAAAAAGGATTGTGAGGTTTTGATTGCCGAATTTGACATAGAAGTGAGATTTTTAGCTCCAAGTGTTGTGTTATTTGGCTTGTGTGTAAAGTTTTGACACAATGAGCCCTATTCCGCAAAACTTGTGTAAGCAATCGGACATGTTGTGTGTTGCATTCTGTGAAACAGGTGATAGGAGAGGGGTTGGGCGTGTCAGTGAAGAGGTGTATTTGTGTTGGAGGTTGTAAGTCAGAGAGAGAGAGAGGGAGAGAAGCGAGAAGAAGGTTATTTATACCGGTGCAGATCTGATGATATGTATGTGTCACAGTTATGGCTTTCTACAAAGTGATCTGTGTGGCGACTATGCTGACTCTCCTGATACAAGGTAAGGACCCTCCTCACTGTGCACACCTGAACCGATCATGTTTGAGATCTGATGACTGCTGTATGAGGAGGAAATTTTTTAATATAGTAAGAATAGTTGTTAAGAGGAAAAAGTATCACACGCAAGTGGAGATCCTGTATTTATATTAAACTTTTTACAAAACTGTCGCAATGAAAATACAAAACTTAATTAATCGGTGGATCCTGTGACACAGAATTAAAATATGCATCAATACAAGTAATGAAAATGATCAAATCTAGGTGAAAAAAAGAGACATAAAGTAAGAATAGTATTGTCCAGGTTGAGTAAATTCTCTAAAAGTCATTGTGTCATCTGTTAAGATTTATGGAAAAGGATTTTTAGCAACCAACTATATTTATTGAATGTTTTAAAAGAATTCGATCTGCAGTGTGAGCAGTAATCACAGTCGTCATATAAATGTAGTGTAATGAAAATAGTTTTGCACACACTCATGGCTTCATTTAGTCTAATTTACAACTTTGCCTGGATGCATAAGAGTGAAGTACTGCTTCACTGTAAGTGTTGTGAATATGATAAATCATGGCAGGTAATGATTGTAAAGGAGTTCAGGAAGCAGCTCAATGAAATAATGGCCAGTCACTGTTTGCATTCAGCCTCTGAGACCTTTCAGTTTTTTGCATATGGGAGAAATCAGCACATAAAAATGTTGCCATAACCTCCCAGTTTAATGTTCTGAACTTGCGCAGGCTATTTGATCTCTTAAAGTTTTTGTATTTACTGTAAGACTGTGTGAGATTCTGATTTAGTTTCACCACACAATAACATTTATGAAGCTTTATCTGTACAATATGTCACACCTGCTTCTGATTGACAAGTCAGCATGAAACAGACTACAATCTTCCACTTGCAGAACATGCAAGTTCACAAGTTACTTAATATTAAGTAAATATAAGTAATATTAATAAAGTAATGATATTAGTTTTATTAGTAAGTTCAGTTGTGTTATATACCTGACATCTTTGGGATTTAGGACAAACAAATGAAAATGAATTTGGGGTGAAAAATCAAGGCAGAGGAGAGATGGGTTCAAGAATAAATCAAATTTATTACAAAACCAAAAGTCAATACAAGGAACGGAAAGTGATCTTGCTTAAATGGGCAAAGGACTACCAACAACAAAAAAAGAAAGACCAGGTTACATTTATAACTAGCAGCCACCAGCCAAGGAGTAACCATTATAACAAAATAAAATAACCCATTGATCCTGCTACGCTGTTTCAACACCAGCCGCCCGAGCCGACACACACACACACACACACACACACACCGCTCAGTAGTCATGTCAATGTAGCCCGAGTCATTTACATATAAACACAAAGTTGTTGTTTCAAACGTGTTTTCTGTTTCTTTTTGTTATTTTCAGAGTCTCAGTCACAACTAGATGGTAAGTCAAAGTTTTATGCTCACTTTTTTTAACTTCCTGTCTGTCTATCATTTTGAACAGGTTTTTAGGACATTAATGTTTTGTTCTTTTCATCCCTGCATGCTCGCTTTGTCTTTACTGTCTCTCTCCTCACTGTGTGGTCAGCCTACGCTCAAACACTATGTGCAAGTAGTACTCATGGGAGTTGCAGTGTCAAATTGCAATTTGTTTGTTATGTGAGATGCCTTTTGAAAAGACTACAATAACACCCCAAAGTGGCTAGTTTTGTCTAGTGAGAAATTTTATTAATGCTCTAAGTGAAGTTTGCCTTTGTACACCATGTGGCGCATAATTTATGTGAGTTAAGGGCACTGTACGTTTGTAAAAAGCAACTTCTATTGGCAGAAATCTACCATAAATTACCTTACAAGACGGCTCCAATGAACCTCAAAAACTAAGCATACTAACAACCAAGGGTGTTTCCAGGCACGTGAAACATTGGAGGCTTAGCGGTAAAGTTCTCAGGCATTTTTTATTACATCAGATGTATGTTTCTCCTGTTTATCAACTATTCTCACTTAACTTAATCCCAAACACGCCTAAATGTGCATGTGGCGCCTTTTCACCTCAATGATAAATTAATTAATTTTAATTCAGTCAGAAACTCCTGGACTTTAATAGCTCCTGTGTTTCAGCAGCTTTTCTGCTCATGTTTAAAACTTTCTGCGCATTCAGAATCTCTCCCACATATCAATTGTTCAATGATATTTGCAGAATATTTTGAGACAAAAGTCGTAATATACAAGAGTAAAACCATTATCTAATGAGAATGAAGTCATAATATGTTAACAAAATCTACCTGCCCCTCTGCTGTGCATCACCATGCGTTATTGCTCTGCTTATATGGTCATTGGTCACCCCCTTCAGACCATCTGACAGACACAGAGCCAGTCTGGGACTGTAGGCCATGAGACAAGGGCATTGCTCTTAATCAGAGCTGAAACTGAAAACACTTGTGATCAGACCGAAATCTCACCACAAATCCACACAAATGTAAACTTCAGCACCTCTGATAAAGTGCAGCTCAGTCGCTTCAGAGGGAAACATCCTGGAGCAGAGAGACAGTGAAACAGAGCAAAGTGTCTCTGAGCGAGGGGGACAGAGACAGCAGAGAGAGCGACAGGTGGCAACAGGAGGACTGTTAACCGTTTGCGTAGCAAATACACTTTAGAAAATGACCAAAACATTTATCTAAATATTTTGATTAAAGGTTTGCTAGAGACAATTCAGTAGCAATGTTCTGAGCAATGTGTTCTCTCTCTCTCTCTCTCGTGCTCACTTTAAATGCCATCAGGCTGAGTAATGGGGGTTAAGTTTACAGTTCATGTAATGTGACCCCCGCATTACGTGAACTTCAAAATATAGCCTGTGTAGCAATGTTATTGCGAGTAGCCTCCGTTCTTTGAAGACCAGAGAGACATAATGATTATTACATATTAATAAGGAAAATATTTTTGTTGTTGTTGTTGAGTTACATTCAGGGCTACAGTCAAAACAGTCAGGCCTAAAGCCCCGGAACTATGACCTGGTGATGCCGATGCTGACAACTAAGAAATATACAGATAACAATTATTTCTACAATTACAAAGTACAAGAGAGACTGCGAAGAAACTGGTTTCAAGTCCAGCCACTCAGCAGCTATCTTGTTAATGCCCCCAGATTCAGTTTGTCTTTCTTAAATCATCTCTCTTTGCTCTCAGCGTGCTGCAATCCAGACCACATGCGTTAGCGAGAACAGCATACATAGTCATTGTAAAAATACTGAAAACAAATGCAAAATAAATTGAATATGACCCTCACACACAGACAAGTAATTTTGCATTCATTCAAATTCTGGTTTTAAAGTCACTGATTTCTATTTGTGGATCATGAAGAGTTTGTTTATGGATCTAGAATCTATTTGTGGATTATGTTCACAAATTGTTGAATGTATTTGTGACTCCTAGTCTGTCTTTACAATGATGTTGACATCAATTTACCCCCATATGGATGCAACTGAATCCTACACATTGGACCTTTAAAACAAATCAGAAACACACATGACGATAACAACCCAGAAAGAAACAATACATCAGCAAAAACAGCATAGCTCCTGCAGTTGTTACATGAATTCTGAATGTTTCCCTCCAGTTTGTGGCACTGCGCCGCTAAACACCAGGATTGTAGGAGGTATGAATGCTTCTCCAGGGTCGTGGCCCTGGCAGGCCAGTCTGCACAGATGGGGATTTCATTTCTGTGGAGGCTCCCTGATCAATAACCAGTGGGTCCTGACTGCTGCTCACTGTTTCCCCAGGTCAGCTCTAATCCTGTCACATGACTCAGCACTTCTCCTGTACAACCACAGTGGGCTTGTATAGTGTAGAGTTGTGACTTTTATTTTATTTCACACAAGGCTCTGCAACTGCTACACTGACATTAAATGAAATACTTATGCTGGGACAAATAACAGCACAAACTGAAATATTAAAGCTGCAAACAGTGTTGGACGGGCCCTCGGGCCATAACCGTGGTGCAGTTGCTGGAGGTCGTCAACAAGGCTCTGAATTATCATGAACTTTGGACATCTGATGAAGGGGTTAAATGTCACTTCCTGTTAATTTTATGTTGTGTCCCAGTACATCAAGTGTGGACCACACAATTTAATGTAAAGTGGTCATATTATGCTCATTTTCAGGTTCAAAATCTTATTTAGGGGTTGTACCAGAACAGGTTTAATTTTCAAAAAACAACATTTTTTTAACATACTGCACATTGCTGCAGCTCCTCTTTTCACCCTGTGTTGAAGGCTTCGCTTTAGCTATGGAGTGATACATCTTGCCTGTACATGATCTTTGTTGGGAGTTGCACATACGCAGTTCCTAGTTAAGGACTACTAGCCAATCAGAAGCAGAGTAGGGCGGGTCGTGAGAAGCCAGTATTTACGGCTTGGGTTCAGCTGTACATGTTGGCAACATGGACTGGAGCGAGAGTTTCAGAGTGGTGAGTTATTAATCTGTAACAAAAGCATCTTTCATCTATAAAGTTTTAACTGAGCTCTGTCTCTACATCACAGTAACAACTTTATGCCCACTGACTGCCTGGAGGGTAGCTAGTGTTTGGAAGGGAGAGGAGAGGCAGCAGGCGGACGTCTTGTCACTGTGTACTGCAGAAGCTGAATGTCGTGTTTTTGAGGGCGTGTAGCCACTTGGCAAGCATTATGATGCGCATTTTGCTGTGTCGTCGCAGGGATGAAAGGGAATTTTGTGAGTTTTGTTAAGAATAAAATGTTATAATACACATAAGACACATAATAATGAACTCTGGTGAACCTATTTATTCATTTTATGAATGACTGAATGTAGAATGTGTAATTTGTTTTTATTTTGTCTTTTCTGTTTTCAGCACCAGCACATCCAATCTCATCATTTACCTCGGACGTGACTCCCAGGAGCTCTCAAACCCTAACGAGGTGTCCCGGACTGTTTCCAAGATCATCATAAATCCCAACTACGATGTCTACTCAAACAATAACGACATAGCCTTGCTGCAGCTGTCCTCACCTGTTACCTTCACCGACTACATCAGACCCGTGTGCTTGGCGGCGGACGGCAGCGTCTTTAAAGCCGGGACGACCTGCTGGGTTACCGGATGGGGAAACATCCAAAGTGGGGGTGAGAATTTTTGTAATGTATTGTTAATTGTGAATGATTTTATGAAATAATTCAGTTTTCATTTTTTTGCAAGAGTATCAACAAGATGACATCATTAGAAGAGCCCAAATAAAACAAAAAATAAGGGTAAACCAGCAGTGGAAGTCAGATGTTTAACTTAGTAAAAGTAGTTATGCTACAGTGTATAAAGACTTGGTTACAAGAAAAAGCCCACCAATAACAAATGTTCTCAAAGTACAGTACAGTAAATGTTACATCTCAACACTGCCTGCATCTTTGATCAATATATTTTGGATTCTGGGTCAATTTTGGATTATATATCCGACAATGTGTTTCAAAGGCACCATGTTCTGATCAGATTCTGATTCACACCTTTGACCTTTGGCTTCCTCTCCATCTCATTCTGCAGCTGAGGTTTCTGGGTTTTGTATTACAGGTGCATCTCAAAAACTTTGAATATTGTGCAAAAGTTAATTTGCAGGAAACCTTTGCAGGTGTTTTGAGTTAACTGGCTGATTAGTGCTCATCTCAGGTTGACATTTTGACATGTAAGTCGTAATCTTATATATCTTTTTTATGCATGTAATAGGTTTGCAAAGTGGATAAGCCCAAAGCCCAGCGCAAACTGCCTGAAAACAACTCGTTTGTAGTCTGGTCTTTACTTCTGTAACCTCTCTGCATCACTTTGTAACACCCGTCATAACGTTCGCCAAGCAGCTAGAGATGCACGCCCTCAAACCAACCTATTTAAATACGAAATTAAAATAACATTAGAGACCCTCCAGGCATTCAGTGGACCTGTTACTGTGATGTAGGCACAGTGCACAGTTAAAATGTATGAAAGATAAATTTGTTACAGATTAATAATTTACTGCTCTGAAACTCTTGCTCCAGTCTGGGATGTGAAGTTTGTTCTGGTTGTTCTGCCTGTGTTAAGGATCCAACTCTCTCCGTACTCTGCTTCTGATTGGCTAGTAGTCCTTACCTAGGTATTGCACAACTCCCAACAAAGATCAAGTAGAAGTAAGATGCTTCACTCCATAGCTTAAACGGAGCATTCAACACAGGGTTGACAAGAACAAGAGGAGCTGCAGTAATGTGCAGCATGACAAAAATATGGTGTTTTTGGAAAATTAAACCATGTAAACGTGTTTTGGTACAACCTCTAAATATAATTATGAACCTGAAATTGAGCATAATATGACCACTTTAAAACAATAAAAGGCATTTCACTTTATGTAAAAAACTTTTCTACTATATTCAGATGCACCTTTACTTTCAACACTCTCACTCCCGACTCATCACACTTTGACGCTCGGTCAAGGCCCTTTGGCGTCGCCTTTTAACGACCATTTGCGTCGTTTATTGACGTTTAGGGCTCAAGTTAGCAATGCTTAGCAACAACAAATATACAACTTTGGGTAAAGTTAGCAACAATAAATATACAACATCCGGTTAGACTTTCAAAAAAATTCTAGTGTTTCTAAACAGCGCCATTTTGAAATGCCGCGTTAATAAAGTCATGAAATGTTGCAGTTTGGATAGGTTTAGGCACAGAAAGTACTTCATAAGGTTAGGAAAAGATCATGGTTTGGGTCTATGGTTTTTCTGTCTATCTAGATATAGATAGATATATAATAATTACAAAAATGAAATAAAAGATAAAAATAATAAGATTGACTAGTAAATAAATGTTCAGCAGATCCACTCCAATTTCCCTTTTTTCTGTTCAAAGCATTTAATCTCTATACTCCGTTTCCCCTACACCACCTCCCATTTTCTACTTCTTGAACATACGCACACACACACACACACACACACACACACAAATACAAACTGCCTTTAAAAATCTTTAATATCCAACATGCTGTTATGTCCAACTGTGCACAGTTGTTTCTCTATACTGTTGTGTCTGTTATGTATTTCACCTGTTGCGTGTTGCATCATCTAAGAAAAAAAAAGAGAAAATAAAAAATTTTTTTATAAAAAAACAAACAAAACAAACACACAAGAAACCAGTCTATAAACCACAGTGTGTTTTCATGGTGATGAAGGAACATGTCACCCAGTGCAGCAGTGAGGCTCACTGATGGGTTTAATAGTTTCTGGACAACAATGGAGCTCTAAGGCTCAGAGGAAGAAAAATCCAGATTTAACATTAATCTCTTTTTCTTTTTCAGTTTCAATTCCTTACCCAGAGTATCTGCAGCAGGTGAGCGTTCCCATCGTGTTGAACAGTGATTGTAACGCGGCCTACAGTTTAATCACAAGCAACATGATGTGTGCCGGTCTGACCCAGGGAGGAAAGGACTCCTGCCAGGTGACTCTGTCTGCAAAACACTCCTCATTTCCATTAATGTTTATATCTGCACTAATCAATAGAGCCGTCGTTGTTTATCCTTGTCTGTGTCCCGAGGGCTGTTTCACAAAAGCAGAATTTAGAAATCCAGCATAAGAGATAAAGCTAGGCTTGACCTAGTGTGATCACTGCATCCTGGCTTTATCAGTTTCACAAAGGCCAAAACAGGCTCAGGAGGAGCGACTATGTGAAGCCAGGTGTAAGTAATTCAGATAAATGGGCGTCAACAGCTTTCTTCACTAGACCACACGGTCGATCACAGATTCATTGATGCTGAAATGGAAAAGACATGTGCAGCATACTTTATTCGCGGTTACTCACTGTGTGTAAAGAAGGTTTACGATGAAAAAATACACGGCCGCAGTATCAAAACAGCAAGAAAAAGCGTGGCAGACAATAGAGGGACTTAATAAGTCAGTAGCGATCACTGCTCCTAACTGAAACTAAATGTATTAATTACAACCACTAATAATATCTATTCAATTCTAATTCAATTTTATTTCAATTCACAACAGGAGTATTTTTTTTTCTCATAGTGTATGTATGTGTGTACATATATATATATATATGGATGGACTAGAGCAGAAATATGGAAATATATAGAAATACATACACATGTGTGTGTGTATATATATATATATATATATATATATATATATCTGCCAATATCTTAATTAACTGGTTCATTTCACCAAAGGATCAATTAAGTTTTATTACAACCTATAAAAATACATCTAAATGTATATGTAAAAGTCAGTTTGTTAATTAAATCTTGTATTTCAAATCTGAATCTACAAAGTAACTAAAGTACATAGTGTACTGCAGTAAAAAAGAGGCATGCATTATTTTCCACTTAATTCAAATACTCACTACCTTAAATTGTACTTTCAGTACACTACTTGTAACTAAATGTACTTACTGGTGTTAACAGACATGTCTGACCTCTGCAGGGGGATTCAGGCGGCCCATTGGTGAGTAAAACTGACTCTATCTGGGTCCAGGGTGGAGTGGTGAGTTTTGGAAATGGCTGTGCCCTGCCAAATTACCCAGGAGTCTACTCCCGAGTGTCGGAGTATCAGTCCTGGATCAACAGCCAGATCAGCAACAACCGGCCGGGATTCGTCGTCTTCATGGGGAACAATACAACCTCTGGCAGCGCTACAACCTCTGCGAACGATTCAACCTCTGGCAGCGCTCACCTTGTTTCCCTCTTGGTTTCTCTGCTGCTCTCCATCTTTCCTGTTCCCTTCTCCCTCTTTGTCCTTTCATAGGACAAATTTAATTGGTTTTGTTTGAGTATAACAACAAAAGCATAACCAGACACCAGCTACACTTTTGATTTTAGACAATTTCTGTCAATTAATTGATTAATTGTTTTGTCTTTAAAATGTCAAAGATGTGTAAGAATGTAAAAATTAATATGTAATTTATATATACATATGAATTGTAAGGTTGTAATATGTCCGTCTCACGTATTAGTAAATATTAGGGGTGTGGAAAGACACTGTGCTCATGAGACGAGATGAACATGTTGAGCATTAAACACCTAATTTCCTGCATTCATGGCCATATTTCTGCACCAATTTATGGTGCAAATGTTTTTATTTATGCAAAGGGAAACACACTTGGCAGGTGTGACAAATTCAAAATCTATAGCCTAACTATAACAGAATCTAAGTCAGTGCAGCTCTCAGGCATTCTGTGCTGCTTTCAGATCATGATCATGTGAAACTGAAACTAACCAACAACAACACTTGTGATCAGGCAGACATCTCACCACAAATCCACACGTTAACTTCAGCACCTCCGATAAAGTGCAGCTCAGAGTCCCAAACAGAGCAAGGTTGCACCTCAGTTTTTAGACGTTTATAATCAGAATCAGATTTATTTCCAGGTGCCACATGTTCACATACGAGGAAGTTGCCTTTGTATCTCGGTGCTTAACAGTACACATAAACATAAATGTAGAAAGAAAAGAAAGTAAAGCGATCCAAAATGTAGAAGCATACAAAAAACAATGCAATGTGAGCAATAGGAATTAGTGCAATAATGCAAATATACTACCTATTACCGCTCGTCACAACTGTTTGAACTCACAGGAGTGAGTTCACAGGAGTGAGTTCAGACTCTGCAAGTCGACGTTATCAGTTACACATTTGTTTCCTGCATGAGAATGTTTGAGAGTGTGAAAAATGTCAATTGCGTGCCACGAGATCTCATCACAACCCTAATAAAAATAATAAGTTTAATTTAAAAGTTTCAAATTATATTGTAAAATTCAATTGCTAACTCATCATTTAAAGACAGAATTATTAATTAATGAAAGTGATTCTTTTTTTAAACTTCATCATTTAAATTAAATTCTAAAGAATCAATTTAACAAAGCTCCTTTTCAAAGTGTTGAATATATACATTTTTGGTTATAAATAAAAATCAAAAGTTTATAATTACTCGAGACTCCATCAAAGTCTATTAAAGATAATTCTGGCCTGATGCTGATCAAACAATGAGTCTTTCTTCAGTTTTTACCTGATTTATTTCTGTAAGTTTGAATTTAAACATTCGCACTGTGAATATCAGAAGTTTATAAAAGTGAAGAATGAGATGTGACGGTGAAGACATGTTTCTTTTGCTAATCTCCTATTAATTCATTACTCTAATTAATGCCTGTCAAATGTCAAATTATAGAAACACCCTTCAGTGTGTTGCAGTTCAATATCACAGGTAGGATTTATTGCAGGGCTGTGTAATTGGATCACATTGTATAGTTGTTGGTTTGGTATTGATGCATATGTCTGGAGGAGGCCCCTGTCCGTGAGATCTTCAACTCAAACCTCCGGCGGAGCTTTTCTGGCATCCCTGTGGAGGTTGGGGACATTGAACAGGAGTGGGCAATGTTCAAAACCTCTATTGCTGAAGCTGCAGCGGAAAGCTGTGGTCTCAAGGTCTTAGGTGCTTAGGTCAAGGGGCGGTAACCCCTTGAGGCACCGGTGGTCAGGGAAGCCGTCCGACTGAAGAAGGAGGCCTTCCGAGATTTGTTGTCTCGGAGGAATCCGGAGGCGGTTGCAAGGTACCGACGGGCCCAAAGGACTGCAGCCTCTGCTGTGGCAGATGGAAAGCAGCGGGTGTGGGAGAAGTTCGGAGAAGACATGGAGAAGGACTTTCGGTTGACACCAAAGTGTTTCTGGAGAACTGTCCGCCATCTCAGGAGGGGGAAGCGGGGAACCATCCAACCTCAACTGGGGAGGTAATTGGGCGGTGGAAGGAACACTTTGAGGAACTCCTAAATCCGACTGACACGCCCTCTTTAGTAGAGGCATTTCCCTGGTGGAAGTCACTGAGGTAGTCAAACAACTCCACAGTGGCAAAGCCCCAGGGATTGATGAGATCCGTCCAGAAATGCTAAAAGCTTTGGGTGTGGAGGGGCTGTCTTGGATGACACGTCTCTTTAACATTGCGTGGAAGTCGGGTACAGTGCCCAAGGAGTGGCAGACTGGGGTGGTGGTTCCCCTGTTTAAAAAGGGGGACCAGAGAGTGTGTGCCAATTACAGGGGTATCACACTTCTCAGCCTCCCCGGTAAAGTCTATTCCAAGGTGCTGGAACAGAGGGTTGGGCCGATTGTCGAACCTCAGATTGAAGAGGAACAATGCGGTTTTCGTCCCGGTCGTGGGACAACTGACCAGCTCTTTACTCTCACAAGGATCCTGGAGTGGGCATGGGAGTATGCCTATCCAGTCTACATGTGCTTTATAGATCTGGAGAAGGCATATGACCGGGTCCCCCTGGATTGGTTCGCAGCCGAGTGCGAAGCGGTTGGGATGAGGATTAGCACCTCTAAATCTGTGGCCATGGTTCTCAGCAGGAAACCGGTGGAGTGCCAACTCCAGGTAGGGAATGAGTCCTTACCCCAAGTGAAGGAGTTCAAGTACCTCGGGGTCTTGTTCACGAGTGAGGGGAGACTGGAGCAGGAGAATCGGAGCAGCGGGGGCGGTAATGCACTCGCTTTACCACACAGTTGTGGCGAAAAGAGAGCTGAACCGTAAGGCAAAGCTCTCGATCTACCGGTCGATTTTCGCTCCTATCCTCACCTATGGTCATGAAGGCTGGGTTTTGACCGAAAGAACGAGATCGCGGGTACAAGCGGCCGAAATGGGTTTCCTCAGGCGGGTGGCTGGTGTCTCCCTTAGAGATAGGGTGAGAAGCCTGACCATCCGTGAGGAGCTCAGAGTAGAGCCGCTGCTCCTTTGCGTTGAAAGGAGCCAGTTGAGGTGGTTTGGGCATCTGGTAAGGATGCCTCCTGGACGCCTCCCTAGGGAGGTGTTCCAGGCACGTCCAGCTGGGAGGAGGCCTCGGGGGAGACCCAGGACTAGGTGGAGAGATTATATCTCCACACTGGCCTGGGAACGCCTCGGGATCCCCCAGTCAGAGCTGGTTAATGTGGCTCGGAAAAGAGAAGTTTGTGGTTCCCTGCTGGAGCTGCTCCCCCCGCGACCCGATCCCGGATAAGCGGATGAAGATGGATGGATGGATGGCATATGCTGTAATATGTGTGTGTTATGTCAGACTCATTTCATACACTGTAAATCATTACAGATCCATTTAGTTTTATCCGCTTACTTCTTCTTTTACACTCAAAGAGCTCTGACAAGTTTTGGATTTTGAACTCAACTGTATGACTTTTTCAAAGTTAAACTTGCATTAAATCATAGCGTTGACTATTTGAGAATTTTGTCAGATATATTTTGATTGAACTTGGGTATATAGTCGTAGTTGCTGCATATTTTGAGAGAATCAGTTTTCATTAAACCATTTGAAAACCAGTCGAAAGATGGGTATACTCAACTAATTATCCACTGCAGACAAGTCCTATATTCAAATTCCAACACTCCGACACTTTTTGTCAAACCGTTCTCACATATGGATGCATGGTCAAGACCCCTGGTATCAGTTTGTAAAGCACTGGGGAGCCCTGTAGAGTCATTTTTTTAACATATATAATATATAACAGTAAAGTCCATGTAAGGAGGTGGTTGGGGTGGACAGGTGGGCCAGAAACCGGACTTTCAAGCAGGAGAGCGGTGTTTGTTTCCCATGTGAAACATAAAGTTAACAATGTTTTTATCCATCACATAAGTTGCTGAACTTACATTTTAGTCATAAGTAAAGTTATTTTAAGCCAAACCATGATGTTTTTCTAAACCCAAGCAAGTACCTTTTCAACACAAAGTGACGCGCTTGACTGACCCGCTCCGCTCTGCACCAGCTCCTCTCTAGTAGGCCAAATTATTCTCTCCACCGATTAGTAACCGATTAACACTTTTGCAATGCATTGTAAACATGCTACATTCTCATTAGGGGCTGAGCACCCCTAAAGGTCTGATCCTAGAATCGCCCCTGTTCTGTTGTCTGAAATGTTGAAAAGTAATTATGCAGTGTATTTCTATGTGTTACGACTTACAACATACAGCCACGTCATCATACAAACGTACACCCAATCACGTTATGTGACGTCACCAGCAGGCGCAGGCCCCGGAGCAGATCTGACCACCCGAGCACATCTGGTACCTACTCTGGTATTTACATGAAGAAATGTCCAAAAGGCATGAACAGGGCAAAGGTGCAGAACTCTGTGACTGACTGTATCAGCTCCCCGCTCTCCCTGGTCCTCTCCAAACAACGCTCTCAAGCCATCTGTGATGTCCGGACAATCTCACCGCTGACAGGCTTTTGCAACATAGTGTCATGCGAATTTCTGGATCAATATTCCTGTGGGTTGAGGAGTGATGACCCGACCCTTGCGGAGGGTAAATCAATCACTTAGCAATGAAACCACATTATCAGTCACAGTGAACGTAGTTACTTTTAGTTTTGATATTAAAGTACATTTAACTGATAACAATTCTTTACTTTTGCTTAGTAGTTCAGTAGGATTTTGAATATAGACTTGTAATGGAGTATTTGTACATTGTGGTACTGATACTTTTACTTTCACTTAAGTAAAGAATCTGAGTACTTTTTCTGTAATGCTGTGATGCACAGATTGTAAAAACGTGTCAATAGTCCTTCATGGTGTCGACAGTGTTTACTGGTTTCAAATCAAGGTCAACTGTTCCCAGGAAACACTGAGGCAGTTTAACCAGTTTGATCTGTGAGCAGACAGCAGGACTCCTCAGTCTCGGTCCAGTTGTCAGTGTAGACGGACATAAAGAGTGAATCAGCATAATTCAGCTGCTCTGTGTCACCTACTGTGTATTTTTCCATCATAACTTCATGATGAATCCGATGGAAAAAAAAAAGTCAAGTTGTCACATCATTGTGTGAAACCTCCATGTGCAGAGTTCTTCCCAGCAGAATATAAAGCAGTTTAAATTATCTCCACCTCGTCCATCTACAACAATTAACCTAATATTATAATTATTATACACAAACATATAATAATAATTAATAATTAAATTTGTATTAAAATTTGTATTAAAATATGGTAATATTTAAAACAGAACATTCTGCTGTGCATGTTTTTAAATTTGTGTCTGGAAGAATGTAAACAGCAGCAACAAGATGATAACGAAGTCCATCTTGACTGCGTTTGAGCACCAAGCATCATCGACGTAGAGTCCACTGTAGCTTTATGCCAGGAGCGGATGTCATCAGATGTTACTGAACCTTCATTAAGTGTTTCAACCCTTAACCACAACATTCTCCAGTTGTTGGGTCGGCAATGGTGGCCAAATCACTGGCTATCTGCCCCTGGCTTACAGCTTTCCTCCTCTCTCTTGCTCCATATCCAGCAAGTAGCTCGTTCAACCTCCTCCCCCATCTTACGACTGGCGTTCATCTTGTTGCTCTTCTTCAATGCTTAAAGCTGACAGCAGCTGACAAGTTCAATAAGCAGGAAATCCTCTTCCGCAGGGAACAGCCAAGGCCTTCCTCTCATGGGCCTCCTCCCAAGGTACAGTAAGCTCAATTTTACAGTCTTTGGCTGATCAAAGAATGATGTCTGGGCTAAGAACTGTGTGGACCTCTGGGAACTGCAACTTCCTTCTGATGTCAACTCTCATTTCCCACGAACTGGCGGCTTGCAGCAAGCTGTTCTTTGCTGATGTCCTGCTTACGTAGGGTATGGCTCCCTCCTTGATGATGGTGATAGTCTTCCTCATGTCTGATGCACCTAGCCTTTTTTTACACCTCTCCCTCTCTATTGAGTTGGCGAGGGACAGAAGCACCTTATTGTGGCGCCACTTATAGCTACCTTGAGTTAATTATGTTTTACACCCTGACAGTATGTGTGCCAGTGTCCCCTTTTTACCTCAGAGCTTACAGTACGGGTCATCCCTTAACCCCCATGTGTGCCAATGCGCTGGTGAAGGAAGGGCGTCGTACACAGAGCACAGCAAGAAGGAGATGCGGTAGGACTACAGTCTCCACAGCTCTGCCCATGTGAGCTTGCTCCCTGAGATGCTTGCTCCATGCTCTGGACAAATGCTTCTCTTCATCTTGTGCTCGAATTTCAGACTGGACCATGCCTCGCTTGATCTTTGCACTTGCATTCCCAAACGGCTCAAAGTGTGTTGACCCCAAGCCTTGCCGTCCTATACAGGGGTTGCTAACAATGTCTCGCAACGTCAGTGAGCTTTCTGCCTGCTCAATACGGCCTGATCTTGTTATGATGCTTGCTTGCTTTACCATGTCGTCTTTGGAGAAGCTTGGGGGAATACCCAACCATCTCCTCAAATGCTTGTTGGTTTTCCTTTCAATACCTTCTACAACTGTTGTGGGGAACTCGTCTACTGTTAAGAGCCATATAAGCCTGAGCAAAAGGTATATACAAAAATGTACTAATGTGATAAAGGTGTTTCATTCCATTTGATGCAAATACTTCATTTTGAGATGTGTTTATGGCATTTTGAAAGCAGTGTTTCATTTTAAATGAGATATGAGGCATTTTGCATTTTGTGTGAGCAGTTTTGGGAATTGTGTTTAAAATTCTGAAAAAAGGAGACATGGTTTTGAAAACATGTGTCTGCAGTTTCCCTACCAGTCAGTCTAACCTGAAGAAGTCTCTTGGATGAGGGACAAAACGTCTTCCAGTATCTTGAACCAGGTCCAGTTGCCCTTGATTATAACCTTCCTTGGATAACTTTGAGCTGGATGACTGAGAACCTTCACAGATAATATACTGGCAGATAACACAATGTTCCAAAACATCAACAGAGTGAGTCTCTCTGCACTACAGAGTGCCTTTCAAAATAAACTCAATTCATTTAAAACAAGTGATAAGTGAGGTGTCAGGCGTGACAGGTGTGTTTGTGTTGGAGGTAAACTGAAAGTGAGAGGGAGGGGAGAAGAAGGTTATTTATGGTGGTGCAGATCTGATGATATGCATTTACAGTTATGGCTTTCTACAAAGTGATCTGTGTGGCAGCTCTGCTGACTCTCCTGACACAAGGTAAGAACCCTCCTCACTGTGCACACCTGAGTTAATCATGTTTGAGATCTAATAACTGCTGTATGGTATCTTTTATAGAGGAAAAAGTATCACATACTAGTGGAAATTTTTACAAAACTGTAGTGATGAAAAGTACAAAACTTAAATTTATGATGCTTTACCTATTCAATCTGTCTGCAATTTGCTCTTCTGATTGACAAGCCAGCATGAAACAGACAAAAAGTTCATAAGTTACTTTATTATCTTAAGTAAATAATAATAATAAAATAATGATATTAGTTTAAGTTGAACCAGAGCTGAAATTTGTCAGTAAGTTCAGTTGTGTCATATCCCGAGTTTTGGTTATTGTAGTTTTTTGTAGGCATTTCTCCTCTCTTTTAGCTGAGAGAGGACAAGGTTTAAAGTGTCACTAATCAAAAATCTTTGCGTTTGAGTTTAGTAATAAATGTTACAGATGATCACAAATTTCCACCCATGTAAATATAACATGTCAATGTAGCCTGAGACATTTACATAGAAACACAAAGTTGTTGTTTCAAAAGTGTTTTCTGTTTCTTTTTGTTATTTTCAGAGTCTCAGTCACAACTAGATGGTAAGTAAAACTTTACGCTCACTTTTTTGTACTTCCTGTCTGTCTCTCATTTTGAACAGGTTTTTGGGACATAAACGTTTTGTTCCTTTCAGCCCCGCATGCTCGCTTTGTCTTTACTGTCCCTCTCCTCACTGTGTGGTCAGTCTACACTCAACACCAAGATTGTTGGAGGGCAGGCTTTGCATTTAACCACAAATCATTTTGGAATTCTTTTTACCATAAATGTAGATCATATTCACACTCTCTGAGGTAAAACAGTAATACCACAAAATAAGAGCTGAAACATGGACATTATCCCAGCAATTTTATTAGTGCTCTAAGTGAAGTTTGCATTTGTCCAGCAGGCGGCGCATACTTTGCATGAGTCAATGAGTCCGTATTCCCAGCCCCCTATTTGCAGAAATCTTCCATGAATTACCTTACAAGATGGCTCTAATGAACCTCAAAAACTAAGCACACTAACAACAAATTATTTCTGCAATTACACAGTACAAGAGAGACTTCGGCAGAAACTGGTTCCAAGTCCTGCCACTCAGCAGCCCTCTTAGTAAAGGCCCATCTACGCACGTAGCCATGCATTTATACTTGTGCATAGGTGTCCGTCATTCTGCAATTACACCCCCAAACGCTAAACACTAAAAACTGCATGTACTGTATTTGCTCACCAGTAAAATCTGATGAAAAAAACTGAAAATGTTTGATGACTTTGCCCTAAAATACAGTTTAAAAAGCGTCTTTCCCCACAGGTTATACTTCTAATGTGCCTGCGAAAGATTTCATGACATAGGCTTCATTTACGGATCTATCCAGAGTGCTTCTATGTAGTCACTATAAAATTGGCATAATATGGTTCACCTCTCGGTTGTTTCAAGGCAGACGATTGGCTTGCTTGCAGGGGGGGTGGGATATGTGCATACAACCGCTATCTTTGCTGTTACAGGCTTTCGCCATAGAATTCCATTCAGGATTTTGGCGTCTGTCTTTCTTAAATCGTTTCAGCTCAGCATTCAACACAATCTCCCCATGAAACAGATCAGCAAACTCAGCACTTAAATACAACACTCTGTCACAGTCAGTTCAGATTAGTGGTCTCACCTCCTCCACTCTAGTGCTCAACACCGGAGCCCCCCAGGGCTGTGTGCTCAGCCCCCTCCTGTTCACGCTGTACACCCACGACTGCATCCCCCGACATGGAGAGAACTCTGTTGTGAAGTTTGTTGACAACACCACCATCATCAACCGGATTTCAAACAACAATGAGAATTCATATCGGGAGGAAACTCATAATCTTGCAGAGTGGTGCTCAGAGAACAACCTACTGCTCAATGTCGGCAAACCAAGGAGCTGATCATTGATTTTAGGAAACAGGAGATAAAGACGCACACTCCTGTCTACATCAGTGGAGCTGAGGTGGAGCAGGTGAACAGTTTCAAGTTCCTGAGAATCAGCATCACAGAGAACCTGACATGGTCATCTTTTACAGAGGAGCAATAGAAAGCTTCCTGACTGAAAACATCACCAACTGGCATGGGATGTGCACGGCCCAGGACCGAATGCCTCTGTAGCAGGTGATTAAAACTGCTCAGAAGATCAGTGCGATGGTACCCATCTCTCGAGCATCAGTGATATCGGTGAGGTGAGGTGCCTACGCAGAGCCCAAAGGATATTAAAGGACAGTACCCACCCAGCCACAGCCTGTTCACCCTGCTGCCTTCTGGGAAGAGATATAGAAGATTCCGCTGCACCACCAGACTGCAGAGCAACTTTTCCCCCCCAGACTTTAAATTGAAATTCATCCTCAGCACTGGTCCAGTGATGAATGTTTATTTCTGTCTACCATTTTCTATAATTGCTTCTATTTTAATGTATATTGTCTGCTATGTAGCAGAAGCCAGTTACAAACTCAATTTCACTATATAACCAGTTATATTGTGACAAAATGAATCTACCTACCTATATGGATGCCACTAAATCCTACACATTGGATCTTTAAAACAAAAACAGCATTGCTCCTGCAGTTGTTACATGAATTCTGATTGTTTTCCTCCAGTTTGTGGCACTGCGCCGCTAAACACCAGGCTCGTAGGAGGGACGAATGCTTCTGCAGGGTCGTGGCCCTGGCAGGCCAGTCTGCACAGGGACGGATTTCATTTCTGTGGAGGCTCCCTGATCAATAACCAGTGGGTCCTGACTGCTGCTCACTGTTTCAACAGGTGAGCTCTGATCCTGTCATATGATTCAGCACTTCACCTCTACAACTACAGTGGGCTTATACAGTATAGTGTAGAGTTGTAACTTCGAAGACTGAATTCTGACTTTTAATGAGTTTAAAGAAACACAAAACCATTCACACTTTATTTTCCCTAAAAATGTAATTTTTTATTTGCTACGTAGGGATGCATCTCACTTCTAAAAGATTTTGTTGGGAGTTGCATATGTGCATTACCTAGTTAAGGACTACTAGCCAATCAGAAGCAGAGTAGGGTCTTGACAAGCCGGCAAACACGGCTTCGGTTCGGTTCAGCTGTACATGTTCCCGAACCAGCTTAGCAACCAAGACTGGAGCAAGAGTTTCAGAGTGGTAAGTTATTAATCTGTAACATTTATCTTTCATATGTAACGCTTTAACTCAACGCTAGCACTATTTCTACAGCACAGTAACAATAACTGTGTAACATTCAGTGATGAGAGTGGGGTTGAGGGGAGGCAGCAGGTGGACGTCTTGTCACTGCGTGTTGCAGCTGAGTGTGTTTCTCCACCAGTATGTTTGAGAGTGTGCCTGACTAGCTGCTAAGCTTATGATGCAACATGGTAACGGAAATAAAGGCTGGACTAAAATTCAGCTCATTTCAGGCAGTTCAGAGCAGTGTTTTCTTTAGGAGATGGGAACTCCCTTTGGGCTGGATTCGGGCTTTTTAACTTTGCAAACCTATTACATGCACAAAAAAGATATATAACTCAATAAAGGAGAGGAAAAAAAGCCAAAAAGCATAATGACCTCTTTAAAGCATTACAATTATTTTTGACATTATGTTATTCTTTAAATTCCCAAATGCACTTTTTCAAAAAGTTTCTTACTTCACAGAAGGCACCGCAACTGCTACACTGACATTAAATTAAAGACGTATCCTGGGAAAAATAACAGCACAAACTGAAATATTAAAGCTGTAAACAGCGTTGGACGGGCCCTCGTGCCACAACGGTGGTGCAGTTGCTGGAGGTTGTCAACAGAACTCTGAATTATCATGAATTTTCGAAATCTAATAAAGGGGTTAAGCATTACTTCCTGTGTCCCATATATAGCGCTAGAGAATATCAGCTAATTATATATATTGTTTTTAAATGTGCTATGTAAATAAATTTGAACTTGAACTATGTTGTGTCCCAGTACATCAAGTTCAATTCAAAATGCATGACTTCCTGTTGGGTTTAGGGAACCGCTCCCAGAGGTGTATTTGTAGGTTTGTTTCTATTTTGTGCGAAGTTTTGTGAGCTTTGTTAAGAATAAAATGTTATAATGACAAATAACAATGAACTCAGATGAACCTATTTATTCATTTTATTAAACATCATTGACAGTCACAAGGGTGTAGAATATGTGTTTTTTTTCTCTTTCTCAGCACCAGCATGTCCAATCTTACCATTTACCTCGGACGTAACTCCCAGAAACTTTCAAACCCTAACGAGGTGTCCCAGACTGTTTCCAAGATCATCAGACATCCCAACTATGATGCCTACTCATACAACAACGACATAGCCTTGTTGCAGCTGTCCTCACCTGTTAACTTCACCGACTACATCAGCCCAGTGTGTTTGGCAGCAGACAGCAGCGTCTTTAATGCGGGGACAACCTGCTGGGTCACCGGATGGGGAAACATCCAAGATAACGGTGAGAATTTTTAATATTGAATGATTGCATGTAATAATTTAGTTTTAACTGTTGTGTTTTGCAAACGACACTAAGACACCACAAATCTATATAAACCAGAAACACTGTAGAGGATCAACAAGATGACATCATTACAAGAGCCCAAATAAAACCAAAAAAAAAAAAGGAAAACCAGTGGTGGAAGAAGTACTCAGATGTATAACTTAAGTAAAACTTATACTACAGTGTATAAATAATTGGTTACAAGAAAAAGCCCACCAATCAAAGTACAGTACTTGAGTAGATGTTCTTAGTTACATCTCAACACTGCCAGCATCTTTGTTCAATATATTTCGGATTCTGGGTCAATTTTGGATCATCTTTGCAACAATGTGTTGAAATGGCGCCATGTTTTGATTAAAAAAAAAATCAACAGAAACTGTGGTGCCTCAAACACACTGTTGCATTAAAAATGGGTTTTAATAGTGTCTATGGCTCAGAGGAAGACGAGACATCAGTCTGTGAGACACAGAAAAATACAGACTCAATTTAGGTCTCTTTTCTTTTTCAGTTTCACTTCCTTACCCAGACTATCTGCAGGAGGTTAGTGTTCCCATCGTGTCCAACAGTGATTGTAATGCTACACACAGTTTAATCACAAACAACATGATGTGTGCCGGTTTCCCCCAGGGAGGAAAGGACGCCTGCCACGTGAGTCTTTCTGCAAACCACTCTTCCATCAGCACTAACCAATAGACTTTCCTCTTGGATAAAGCTTATAGTTAGGTCTGGCTCAGGTGACTCCTGAACCATCCCTTAGTTATGCTGCTATAGGCCTAGACTGCCTTGGGACTTCCCATGATGCTCTGAGCTTCTCTCTCCTCCTCTTCGTCTCTCTGTATGCAACCTCATCCCATTAGTCGCCTGATGCCCCCATGTTCCTGCCCGAATTCCTCAGCTAAAATTGTTATTACTAGTCCTATTGTTATTATAATTATAATAACATTACTATAATTATCTGTACCTTAATTCATTTTCATTCTGTACCACTCCGACATTCTTGACTTTTTATACCCAATCCTAAACCATTGGTAGTTGACCTTATTAAGTGTGAGACGTTCTACCATCTGTTTTCGTTAAGCATTTCGCTTTTCCAGTGTTTTGTTGCCACACCCTCAACTTTTTTGAAAGGTGTTGCTAGGATCAAATTCAGAATGGGCACATGATTTTTCCGAAACAATAGAATTTTCAAAAAAAGTTGTCTTTGTGCTGTCTTCAATTAAATATTGTGTTTCCGTTTTTTGCACATCATCACATTTTGTTTTTATTTATATTTTACACAGTGTGCCAACTTTTTTGGAAACGGGGTTGTAAACATCCTGCATCCCAAATTTTACTTGAGCTAATGTACTAAAGTATAAGCATCAAAATATTGCCTACTTAAAGTACCAAAATTAAAAGTACTCATCATGCTAAATGGCTCACATCAGAATATTATATTATTAGATTATTATTTTTGATGCATATGTGTTCATCACTTTAATGCTGCAGCTGGTAAAAGTGGAGCTTATATTAATTATATACTTACTTATTTACTTCCTATTTATTATCTATCTATCTAGCTATCTATAGATATATATGTCTATGTATAGATACATATCTATAAATATATACACACACACATGTATACATACATGCAGGTATCTTGTTAATTAACCAGTTAATTTCACCAAAGGGTAAATAAATATATTGATTATGTTGTATTTCAAATCTGAATCTGCAAAGTACCTAAAGTTCATAGTGTATTGCAGTAAAAAATAGGCCTACAATATTTGCCTCTGAATTCAAATTCTCACTACCCTAAATTGTACTTTCAGTACACAACATGGTGATATAACAAACATGTCTGATGTCTGCAGGGGGATTCAGGCGGCCCATTGGTAAGTAAAACTGGCTCTATCTGGGTCCAGGGAGGAGTGGTGAGTTTTGGAGAACCCTGTGCTCTGCCCAACTTCCCCACAGTCTACACCCGAGTGTCCCAGTTTCAGTCCTGGATCAACAGCCAGATCACCACCAACCTGCCGGGCTTTGTCGTCTTCACAGGGAACACTTCAACCTCTGGCAGCGCTACAACCTCTGGCAGCGCTACAACCTCTGGCAGCTCTGGCAGCACTACAACCTCTGACAGCGCTACAATGTCTTGGAACGGTACAACCTCTGAAAGCGCTACAACCTCTGGGAACGGTACAACCTCTGGGAACGGTTCAACCTCTGGCAGCGCTACAACCTCTGGCAGCAGTACAACCTCTGGGAACGGTTCAACCTCTGGCAGCGCTACAACTTCTGGGAATGGTTCAACCTCTGGCAGCGCTACAACCTCTGGCAGCGCTACAACCTCTGGGAATGGTTCAACCTCTGGCAGCGCTACAACCTCTGGCAGCGCTACAACCTCTGGGAATGGTTCAACCTCTGGCAGCGCTACAACCTCTGGCAGCGCTACAACCTCTGGCAGCACTACAACCTCTGGCAGCAGTACAACCTCTGGCAGCACTACAACCTCCCGCAGCGCTACAACCTCTGGGAACGGCTCAACCTCTGGCAGCACTACAACCTCTGGCAGCGCTACAACCTCTGGCAGCGCTACAACCTCCCGCAGCGCTACAACCTCTGGCATCACTACAACCTCCCGCAGCGCTACAACCTCTGGCAGCGGTACAACCTCTGGCACGCTTCAACCTCTGGCAGCGCTACAACTTCTGGGAACGGTTCAACCTCTGGCAGCACTACAACCTCTGGCAGCAGTACAACCTCTGGGAACGGTTCAACCTCTGGCAGCGCTACAACTTCTGGGAACGGTTCAACCTCTGTCAGCGCTACAACCTCTGGCAGCACTACAACCTCTGGCAGCGCTACAACCTCTGGCAGCACTACAACCTCTGGCAGCACTACAACCTCCCGCAGCGCTACAACCTCTAGGAATCCTTCAACCTCTGGAACCTCTCACCTGGTTTCCTTCTCAGTTCCTCTGCTGGTCTCCATCATACATCTTCCCTTCTCCCTCTTTGTCCTTTCATAGGACATTTAATATGTTTTGTTTAATGATTACCAAGATGTCTGGTTATAATTTTGGTTGGACTATTTTTTCAATTAATTGATTAATTGTTTTGTCTTTAAAATGGCAGGAAGATGTGTAAGCATGTTAAAATGAATGTCTTATTTGACATTTGAATTGTAAGGTTGTAATATGTTTGTCTGACGTATTAGTAAATATTAGGGGTGTGTAAAGACACTGTGCTCACGAGACGTATTAGAAGATATTTAGTTGCATTATAATGAGTTGGATGATGGTTTTGATGGTGACATTGCTATTAATGAAATTAAATTATCACATTTTGAATTATTGCATCTCAATTTACTATTTAACAGAAAAATAAATAGGCTAATTTACAGTTGATCCATATTCCTTAGCTTCCTACCTATCAAAGGAGATCAATAATATGCATCTAGGCCTAATGGTTGAGGAGTTATTACTGATTTATTTTGGGTATGTTATATTAGGCGTTTTTCCTGGAAATGGGTGTCAGTGCCTCAGTTTTTAGATGTTTATAATCAGAATCAGATTTCTAGCCAGGTACAATTTACCATATAAGGAATTTGCCTTGGTATATTGGTGCTTAACAGTAAACATAAACATGTACAATATATAGAAAGAAAAGAAAGTGCAGAGATCCAAAAGGTACAAGTATACGAAAAATGCAATGTGAGCAATAATAATTAGTGCAATTATGCAACTATGCTACCTACGTGGACTGGACTTGCAAGCGCCAGAGGGGGTCTACTTGATTACTATCACAGAATAAGCTGGTGTTGCATCAGCTGGGCGGAGTTGATTTGCTCTGCAAGTCGACATTATCGGTTACACGTTTGTTTTTCACTGCATGACTAAATTGATGTAAGAGTGTGGAAAAAGTCAATTGCATGGCACGAGGTCTCGTCACACCCCTATTGAATAGAAGTTAAATGTAAAAGTAAAAAATTCTATTGTAAAATTAAATTATTAATTCATATTTTAAAGACAGAATGAAATAGAATTATTAATTAATGAATGTGATTCTTTTTTTAAACTTCATCATTTAAATTAAATTCTAAAGAATCAATTTAACAAAGCTCCTTTTCAAAGTGTTGAATATATACATTTTTGGTGATAAATAAAAGCAAAAAGTTTATAATTATTACTTGAGACTCCATCAAAGTCTATTAAAGATAATTCTGGCCTGATGCTGATCAAACAATGAGTCTTTCTTCAGTTTTTACCTGATTTATTTCTGTAAGTTTGAATTTAAACATTCGCACTGTGAATATCAGAAGTTTATAAAAGTGAAGAATGAGATGTGACGGTGAAGACATGTTTCTTTTGCTAATCTCCTATTAATTCATGACTCTATTTAATGCCTTCAGGTCTTTTGTCAAATATTACTAGCACCCTTCAGTGTGTTGCAGTTCAATACCACAGGTAGGATTTATTGCAGGGCTGTGTAATTGGATCACATTGTACAGCTGTTGGTTTGGTATTGATGCATATGCTGTAATATGTGTGTTATGTCAGACTCATTTCATAAACTGTAAATCATTACAGATCCATTTAGTTTCATCCGCTTACTTCTTCTTTTACACTCAAAGAGCTCTGACAAGTTTTGGATTTTGAACTCAACTGTATGAGTTTTTCAAAGTTAAACTTGCATTAAATCATAGCTTTGACTATTTGAGATATATGTTGATTGGACTTGGGTATATAGTAGTAGTTGCTGCGTCTTTTGAGAGAAACAGTTTTCATTAAACCATTTGAAAACCAGTTGAAAGCTGGGTATACTCACCTATTTATCCACTGCAGACAAGTCCTGTATTCAAATTACAACTTAAATATAGACACTTTTGTCACACCGTTCTCACTCCAAGTCATCACATATGGATGCATGGTCAAGACCCCTGGTATCAGTTTGTAAAGTAGTGGGGAGCCCTGTAGAGTCATTTTTGTAACACTAAAGGTGTATAATGTATAACAGTAAAGTCCATGTAAGGAGGTGGTTGGGGTGGACAGGTGGGTCAGAAACCGGACTTTCAAGCAGGAGAGCGGTGTTTGTTTCCCATGTGAAACATATAGTCAGCAATTAGTGTTTTTATCTGTTATGTAAGTAGCTAAACTTACCTTTGACTTTACCTTGACTAGTTCCACCATTGTAGGAGGTACCTGACCATGACCTTATACATGTAAACCGAAACAAAATTTGGATTCAAATCCTCTTAACTTTAAAGGGAAAGTAGTATAAATTTAGTGGAGTTGTTTTAACTTGAAACTGAGTTAGAATAATACAAAAATATATATTGGTCAGACTAATTGAAGGACGTTTTGATGCATTGATAAAGTAAAACACTGAGACATCTAGAAGACTGTAGTTACACCAACTTTCTGAACATTTGTGAGTTAAAAAAAAAGGAAATCTTCAAGTTGGAGCAGAGTGGAGCTAAGACGGGAGTCAATTTCCAGCGGGGAGTCTGTACACACAAAACAGCATTAAGCAAGGTTCAGTAACATACTGTACATCCTGATAATTATTTTGTCTGACTGGTTGTTAATAAAGAGGGACAATGGAGCTGAGGTTAATGAAGTACATTAGGGGTGCAAACTAATCTTTTAAGATATTATTGCATAAAAGTTTGTACCGCCAAGCCATCCATTTACTGCACTGCATTGAATGAATGAGGATTATTATCCTGCTTTACTACAATATTTTGTACAACTATACTGCACACACACACACACACACACACACACACACACATTTTTCATGTTTCTTTTCTTGTATGCTGCTACTGTTACTGTACAGTAATGCTTTGCCAAATAAATATTTTCTGTTTCAACACTGCATTCGTGTTTACAGTGTACTTTTCAACCCCTCTCAGCTATTTTCACTCTAGATTTAGAACAGCAGTGTGTGCATGATATCCAAAAATGTACTAATATGAAAAAAGTATTTACCATTTGATGCAAATACTTCATTTTGAGATGTGTTTAGGGCATTTTGAATGCAGTGTTTTGTTTTAAAGGAGATATGAGGCATTTTGCATTTTGTGTGAGCAGTTTTGGGAATTGTTCTGAAAAAAGGAGACGTGGTTTTGAAAACGTGTGTAAGGAGTAAAAAAAATGTAAATAGCTGAGTTTCCCTACCAGTCAGACTGAACTGAAGAAGTCTCTTGGATGAGGGATGAAACGTCTTCCAGTCTCTTGAACCAGGTCCAGTTGCCCTTGATTATAACCTTCCTTGGATAACTTTGACCTGGATGACTGAGAATCTTCACAGACAATTTAGTGGCAGATAACAAGTGAGTCCCTGTCCAAATAAACTCAATTCATGTAAAACAAGTGATAAGAGTGGTGTCAGGTGTGTCATTGGACAGTTGTGTTTGTGTTGGAGGTAGACAGAAGGTGAGAGGGAGGGGAGAAGAAGGGTATTTATGGTGGTGCAGATCTGATGATATGCATTTACAGTTATGGCTTTCTACAAAGTGATCTGTGTGGCAGCTCTGCTGACTCTCCTGACACAAGGTAAGAACCCTCCTCACTGTGCACACCTGAGTTAATTATGTTTGAGATCTGATGACTGCTGTCTGGTAGTTGTTAGAGGAAAAAGTATCACTTGCTTGTGGAAATCCAGAATTTATTTAAACTTTTTACAAAACTGTAGTGATGAAAAGTACAAAACTTATATTTATGAAGCTTTACCTATAAAATCTGTCTGCAATTTGCTCATCTGATTGACAAGCCAGCATGAAACAGACACAAAATCTTCCACTTGCAGAACATGCAAGTTCATAAGTTACTTTATTATATTAAGTAAATATTAGTAATTATAATAAAGTAATGATATTAGTTTTAAGTTGAACCAGAGCTGAAATTTGTCAGTAAGTTCAGTTGTTTTATATCTCTATTATCTGGGGGATGTGGGAATAGCAAATAAAAATGAATTAGGGGTGATAAAAGAGATTCAAGAATAAATCAAATTTATTACAAAACAAAAAGTCAATACAAGAAACACAAAGCGATCTCGCTGAAAACCAGAGATGGGTAAAGGAATAACAACAACAACAAAAAAAGGAAGACCAGAGGACTGTTTCACAAAAGCAGAATTTAGAAGTCCAGGATAAGAGATAAAGCTAGGCTTGACCTAGTGTGATCACTGCATCCTGGCTTTTCCATTTCATAAAGGCCAAACCAGGCTCAGGAGGTGCGACTATGTCAAGCCAGGTGTAAGTAATTCTAAATGGGCGTCAACAGCTTTCTTGAATCTCACAGATTCATTGATGCTGAAATGGAAAAGACATGTGCAGCATACTTTATTTGCTGTTACTCACTGTGTGTAAACAAAGTTCATCATGAAAAAATGCACATAATATTAAAAGAAAGAAACACAGCCACAGTATTAAAACAGCAATTTTTATAAAAAGGAAACACAAAATTCAGCTGGCAGGTGACAATTCAAAGTATAAAAATATAATGCAGTAATCAGCAGCTTGTTCTTTTGGCTTAAGTTGCTTTTTTTGGACAATGTACATTTGTTTCTTCTATCTTTACATTGCATGTTTTCTTATTGTGCAAACAAACCTTTCTTAAAGCATTTTCAGTTATTTAACATTTTTCATTGCGAGCAGCATTTTTAACAAATGCTTTCATAAAGTATATAGGCTATATATAGTAGGCCGAGGCAGAGAGCTGGTCAATTTTGTTAAAATGGTGTGGTTGTTTAGTCAACATGGCTAATAGATAAGAAGTCAGTGATATGGTGCCCATAGGAAATACAGTATCATATTTGTATCTTGAACCTGAGGCTGTAGTCCTACAATCTGATAACAAGTCTGGCAATGTAGTAAGTTTTACCTGAAGGACATTCACAGGTGAACACTTCCTGCTGTGCTAATTTATATATGTTTTACAAACTGTCAGATGTCTGAACTGCACTTGAAAAAATTAAGAAAATAAAATATCAATAACAACCCTGGCAGAACTTGGACTTAGATGTGGAGATAAAAAGAGGCTCTGAGGAAATTGACTTGGAAATCCAGCAACTATAAGAGAAGTGATCACTGCAAAGCACGCTGTAAACATGACTGTAACACAATGTATTAATCAGCATTTTCTTTCACAAGCTCGCAGCAGATGATCCCAGGTCAAAAAAACATTGTGGTATCCTCTCCCTGTTGTTTCATGAATAAACAGTGCACAATATAGCCTCCTTATTGAAGTGGGTACATATATATATATATATTTATATATAGTACATATATATATATATATGTATCCTATACATATATAGGTTATCTCCTATATAGTATGTGTGCCATACATTTCTTGAGTGACATGTAACGTCCGGTGCTCACTTTTGAGGCACAATATAACATTATAATTATGACAGTTTCAGTTAAGAGCAGTGATATTTTTCTTCTTCTGCTTCTCACACATTCAGTCGGTCTGCTGTTGGCTGTCACACTTTCTTTCGCTGTTTTATTACTGTGCCCGTGTTACTTTGTCTTTTATTTATCATTTTTCTTTACATGTGTTTTCATTCCACATAAACCTACTCGCTGATGCTTGTTGTGTGCAAAGTATGGTGCACGCGTGAAACTGCTTTTTTAATACAGGCTAATGAAAAATATGCAAAACACATACATGAGAATATGGAATAACTGAAAAAAACACATTGGTTTCTGATCAGCGTGACCGCTGACTGAACAGATAAGGCACCAGGGTTAACTAAGCCTGGCTGCACAGAATAAATCACCATGGTAACTTATGTGCTACTGCTATGGAGCTCCGATACTATAATTCACCACAGCAATGGGTAAATAAAGGCAGAGCCTCCATTTTAATCAGGTAGAGCTAGAAATATGAATGCGTGCCAACGCAGACCATGATTGGCACTAAAACGCAGGAGTGGAGAAGGGTCAATACTTTAACATTAGTAGGCTACTTTTTATACAGCGTTGCTCATTAATCACTTACCAGACTGGACTTTCCTTAATGAATGATAAAGTGCTGGAATTCTCCTACAGCCCATTACATTGGAGTTTCAATAGGACGGCTATATTTAATAAGCTGTAACCTGACGGGACTAAATGCTGGTTGCAATCGGCTACCTGATTATGAAAATAGGTAGGCTATAAGACACAGTTTACTCATGAACCTGTGATTATAAAGTCACAGTCACACCCAGCAGGTTAGCCAATCAATTTTTTTTTGCAGGGGAAAATGTGTCTATAGGGTCAACCTGCCGGTTTAGACCTCTATTTTTTATTTATTAATGCTGTCAAAACACATTCAGACTATGAGCAGGTAATAGCCTAATGATCAGCTGCACCACAGTCATGCTCATATTACATACATATTATAGGTAATAATATATATATCATAATATATTATAATAGGTTACATATTGAACAGTGATTACTGCAGTAATGTAGCCCACAGTAGGCTAAGTGTTTTCAGTGTAACTGTCACAGTGTTTTAGGCTACCTAAAGATGGAACATTGATTTTATTCTGGGCTGAGGATAAATCCACGATGTGCAGAGACCCGTCCTTACATCAGTGACAGATCGATCAATAAAGCTGTCATGTTCAAGATCATGTTTGGGTTAAAAAACGAATAGCCTATCTAACTGGTATTTCAAAGTTTTTAAAGATGTAAATGCGTTCAGATATGTGTTTTGATAGCGACAGTATGAATGAGGAATTGAAACGGTTTATCAGACAGCCGCCTCAGGCTCCGCAGGAGGGGAGGAGTCAGAGAGAAACTGACGGTTTTTCAACTGATGCTGTGAAGCTCACCTCCTCCAGAGAAGGTTAGGTTCACAGCATCAGTTGCTGGAGTTAGGGGAGAGTGGAGCACGACCTAACACATTTTGGTTTAGTCTAAATAATTAAAAATATATATATTGTTTGATTAATCAAAGTTTTATAGAAGGGTGGCGCGGTGGTGCAGTGGTCAGCAGTGGTAGATGGATTGATATTTGTAGATATTAGGCTATCTCTTTCCATCCATGATAATCCATAATAATATTTTTCATCTATCAAGGAAAGAGAGATATCTTTCCATCTAACTCATGGTCTATCATGGATTTATATTCAAACGGATGGACCAATGGATAGATGGATTATAGCCACACATCAAAATATATACAGTGGGTACGGAAAGTATTCAGACCCCTTTAAATTTTTCACTCTTTGTTTCATTGCAGCCATTTTCCAAAAATCAAAAAAGTTCATTTTATTTCTCAGTAATGTACACTCAGCACCCCATCTTGACAGAAAAAAACAGAAATGTAGAAATTTTTGCAAATTTATTAAAAAAGAAAAACTGAAATATCACATGGTCATAAGTATTCAGACCCTTTGCCGTGACACTCATATTTAACTCAGGTGCTGTCTATTTCTTCTGATCATCCTTGAGATGGTTCTACACCTTCATTTGAGTCCAGCTGTGTTTGATTATACTGATTGGACTTGATTAGGAAAGCCACACACCTGTCTATATAAGACCTTACAGCTCACAGTGCATGTCAGAGCATATGAGAATCATGAGGTCAAAGGAACTGCCTGAAGAGCTCAGAGACAGAATTGTGGCAATTTCTGCTGCACTTAAGGTTCCTAAGAGCACAGTGGCCTCCATAATCCTCAAATGGAAGACGTTTGGGACGACCAGAACCCTTCCTAGAGCTGGCCGTCCGGCCAAACTGAGCTATCGGGGGAGAAGAGCCTTGGTGAGAGAGGTAAAGAAGAACCCAAAGGTCACTGTGGCTGAGCTCCAGAGATGCAGTTGGGAGATGGGAGAAAGTTGTAGTAAGTCAACCATCACTGCAGCAATCCACCAGTCGGGGCTTTATGGCAGAGTGGCCCGACGGAAGCCTCTCCTCAGTGCAAGACACATGAAAGCCCGCATGGAGTTTGCTAAAAACACCTGAAGGACTCCAAGATGGTGATAAATAAGATCCTCTGGTCTGATGAGACCAAGATAGAACTTTTTGGCCTTAATTCTAAGCGGTATGTGTGGAGAAAACCAGGCACTGCTCATCACCTGTCCAATACAGTCTCAACAGTGAAGCATGGTGGTGGCAGCATCATGCTGTGGGGGTGTTTTTCAGCTGCAGGGACAGGACGACTGGTTGCAATCGAGGGAAAGATGAATGCGGCCAAGTACAGGGATATCCTGGACGAAAACCTTTTCCAGAGTGCTCTGGACCTCAGACTGGGCCGAAGGTTTACCTTCCAACAAGACAATGACCCTAAGCGCACCGCTAAAATAACGAAGGAGTGGCTTCACAACAACTCCGTGGCTGTTCTTGAATGGCCCAGCCAGAGCCCTGACTTAAACCCAATTGAGCATCTCTGGAGAGACCTGAAAATGGCTGTCCACCAACGTTTACCATCCAACCTGACAGAACTGGAGAGGATCTGCAAGGAGGAATGGCAGAGGATACCCAAATCCAGATGTGAAAAACTTGTTGCATCTTTCCCAAAATGACTCATGGCTGTATTAGATCAAAAGGGTGCTTCTACTAAATACTGAGCAAAGGGTCTGAATACTTATGACCATGTGATATTTCAGTTTTTCTTTTTTAATAAATTTGCAAAAATTTCTACATTTCTGTTTTTTTCTGTCAAGATGGGGTGCTGAGTGTACATTACTTTTTTGATTTTTGGAAAATGGCTGCAATGAAACAAAGAGTGAAAAATTTAAAGGGGTCTGAATACTTTCCGTACCCACTGTATAAATATCGACAGGAGTTAGTTGTAACACAGTGTTATAACTAATCCCGCTCTGGTGAGTTTTTCTTTAAGCCTGTTGGTCAAATGTTTCAAAACTGTGCTATGTTTTAGGCAAAAAGATGGTTATTAAGGTAATACATGATTGGATTCAGTGACTTACACACACAGCTCAGTAATCTAAAAATAAGTATGATACAGAAATTGATATTCTTCCCTGTGTAACTTGACAAAAATAAGTCCAATCTCTCTAAATAATTGGCGAGACACCGTCTGCTGGCTCTTTGATAAACTAACCTGAAACACAACCTGCCCGACCCTGTGCAACTACATAAAATGTCCCTGTTACATCTTACCCCGCATTAGGTTGGTCCCCGTGCTCCCCTACCTGATCTTGCTCTCTGAAACAGAAAAACGCTCATCTCAGTTTCCCTCATCTCAGGCTAATTTACTCAGAATTATCACTACTCCCTGAAACGGGGCTCAGGTTACATTTATAACTAACAGTAGTAGTAGTAGTTGTATGATTATCAGCAGTATAAGCAGTAGCAGAATAACATATGGACTTTTATGTCCATCCTCACCAGAAAAATAGTTTGTGTAGCCGTAAAGTTGAATTGCTCAAGCAACTTATTAGGACCCATATTTACGTTTTTGTGGGCGTAATGATTTTTAAGGGAATATTGAAATCTTCTTTTCTCTAACTGTAAAATGATTTTCCCTCTCTTTTAGCTGAGAGAGGACCGGGTTTAAAGTGTCACTAATCAAAACTCTTTCAGTTTGAGTTTAGTAATAAATGTTACAGATGATCACATATTTCCACCCCTGTAAATACAACATGTCAATGTAGCCTGAGACATTTACATATAAACACAAAGTGTTTTCTGTTTGTTTTTGTGATTTTCAGAGTCTCAGTCACAACTAGATGGTAAGTCAAAGTTTTATGCTCACTTTTTTTACTTCCTGTTTGTCTGTCCTTTGGGACATTTTAAACAAGTTTTTGGGACATAAACATTTTGTTTATAGTTTCATTATTGTTAGTATTTGCTGTCAACCCCATATTGTTCACCCTGTGTCTTTACTGTCCCTCTCCTCACTGTGTGGTCAGCCTACGCTCAACACCAAGATTGTTGGAGGGCAGGCTTTGCATTTAACCACAAATCATTTTGACACTGTTTTACCATAAATGTACATCATATTCACACTCTGTGGTAAAACAGTAATGCCTCAATAAGCCTTTCAAAATAAGAGCTGAAACATGGACATTATCTTCTCTGCATCTGATCTTGTGTGGAGTTCCATAGTTTGGTTGGTGTAGAGTGCCTTAAATAAAGTTAAATATTTACATACTATGTATGTCGCAGTCCCGTTTCACTTTTGCTAAAACGTGAAAGATTTTAGATTTTGTCATTTGCTCACCAGCTTCAACACACACTGGCAGCTGACCCCGTATACCGTTATGTGTTTCATATGTATGTGCATTTTGCAATGGAAATGTAGCAAACTTTCTCAAAATACTGTACCCCAGCAATTTTATTAGTGCTCTAAGTGAAGTTTGCATTTGTCCAGCAGGCGACGCATACTTTGTGTGCAAACATTTGGAAAAGAGCACTCTATCTTAACTGACTTTACAAGACGGCTCTAATGAACCTCAAAAACTAAGCGCACTAACAACTAAGCAATATACCGACAACAATTATTTCTAATTGCACAGTACAAGAGAGACAGCGGGAGAAACTGGTTTCAAGTCCTGCCACTCAGCAGCTATCTTGGACTAACAAGATCAGCTCTCTACCTAAATCAATGGGGAAAGAACCATAACTGCACTTTCACAAGTCAGCAGGACATAAAAACTGCATGTATAGAATCAGCAGTAAAATCTGATAAATAAAAAAAACACAAATTTTTGATGATTTTGCCCGAAAATAAGGTCTTTCCCCACAGGTTATACTTCTTCTACCCATGTGAAAGGTTTCACGACATAGGCTTCATTTACGGATCTATCCAGAGTGCTTCTTTGTTGTCACTATAAAATTGGCTTAATATGGTTCACCTCTTGGTTGTTTAAAAGCACACGATTGGCTTGTTTGCAAGAGGGGCAGTATGTGCATACAACCGCTATCTTTGGTGTTACAGGTTTTCCCCATAGAATTCCTACACATTGGACCTTTGAAACAAATCAGAAACACACATGACAGACGATAACAAACCAGAGAGAAATAATACACCGACAAAAAGAGCATTGGTTGTTATATGAATTCTGATTGTTTCCATCCAGTTTGTGGCATTGCGCCACTAAACACCAGGATTGTAGGAGGGGTGAATGCTCCTGCAGGGTCGTGGCCCTGGATGGCTAGTCTGCAGAGCTGCGGATTTCATTTCTGTGGAGGCTCCTTGATCAATGACCAGTGGGTCCTGAGTGCTGCTCACTGTTTCTCCAGGTGAGCTCTCATCCTGACTTTTAATCCTTTAATTCCCCCTCTTAGTCCCTAATTAGAAGAAATAGTTGTTACTATTTTAAGACGAAAAAAATGTACTTGTATTTGAATTTAGCAATTATTTCAGCAATTTATTACAGTATTATGTCATATTGTGTATTTCTTAGAAAATATATTTCCAGCATTACATTAAATTTTTCATATTATGCTAATTTTCAGGTTCATACATTTTAATAGGATTTGTACCAGAACATGATTTACATGATTACATTTTCAACAAACAGCATATTTTTTGTCATGCTGCACATTGCTGCTCTTTTCACCCTGTGTTTTGATAGTTCTGTTTTAGCTACGGAGGGATGCATCTCACTTCTAAATGATCTTTGTTGGGAGTTGCACATGCGCAGTTCCTAGTTAAGGACTACTAGCCAATCAGAAGCAGAGTAGGGCGGGTCTTGACAAGCCGGTAAACCCGGCTTTGGTTAGGTTCAGCTGTATGTTCCCCAACCAGCTTAGCAACCAACACTGGAGTAAGAGTTTCAGAGTGGTAAAGTTTTAACTCTGCACTGCCTCTACAGCTCAGTAACAGTCACTGTCTAACATTCAGTAGCGAGGGTGGGGTTGAGGGGAGGCAGCAAAAAAGCATAATATGACCTCTTTAAAGCATTACAATTATTTTTGTGATTTTTGTCATTACATTATACTTTAAATTCTAAAATGCACTTTTTCAAAAGTTGATTTAAAAGTGGCATTTTCCTCAGCAAGCCTTTTATTTCTCAACTGCTCTGCAACTGCTACATTGACATTATTAAATTAAAGGGACTATATGTAAGTTTTTCAATGATATTAATCAAATTTTCATTGCCTTATTGTCAATGGGCTCAAAACTCACTTAGAAATGACGCACACACCTGTTTTCTCTGTTGCTTGCATCAGCCACTAATTCTGGTTTTAATGTGTTGACAATGGGTCGGATTCAGCCCTGTCCGTGCCCCCGAGCCTCTCCCATACTACAGCAACAACACAGCAGTTAAAGATATGCAGTCCACTAACACCATAAAACGACCGGCTCACCAGTCAGTTCTCATGCTCAGGCGCCACATATACATGGCTTTGGAAAAGCCGTGTCCATTGTACGCAAAACAACGATTTTGCATGGATAGTAGACGCCCCAGGTGCGTGTGTATGAGACACATCCAGGCCGTGTGTGTATATGACACATTGGGGTTACCGGAAACGACAGTAGCGCTTCCGGTAGCTAACTAGCTAGCTAGCTAGCTATGTTTTTGTTTAAGGAGTTGACAACCCCCCGAGGCAATTTACCCTCACCTTAACCATCACATAAGTGCGTAAACCTAAATACAGGTGCTGGTCATATAATTAGAATATCATCAAAAAGTTGATTTATTTCAGTAATTCCATTCAAACAGTGAAACTTGGATATTATATTCATTCATTACACACAGACTGATATATTTCAAATGTTTATTTCATTTAATTGTGATGGTTAAAACTGACAACTAATGAAAATCCTAAATTCAGTATCTCCGAAAATTAAAATATTACTTAAGACCAATACAAAAATATGATTTTTAGAAATGTTGGCCAACTGAAAAGTATGAACATGAAAAGTATGAGCATGTACAGCACTCAATACTTAGTTGGGGCTCCTATTGCAGCAATGCAGCGTGGCATGGAGTCGATCAGTCTGTGGCCCTGCTCAGGTGTAATGAGAGCCCAGGTTGCTCTGATAGTGGCCTTCAGCTCTTCTGCATTGTTGGGTCTGGCGTATCACATCTTCCTCTCACAATACCCCATAGATTTCTATAGGGTTACGGTCAGGCGAGTTTGCTGGCCAATTAAGAACAGGGATAGCATGGTCCTTAAACCAGGTACTGGTAGCTTTGGCACTGTGTGCAGGTGCCAAGTCCTGTTGGAAAATGAAATCTGCATCTCCATAAAGTTGATCAGCAGCAGGAAGCATGAAGTGCTCTAAAACTTCCTGGTAGACGGCTGCGTTGACCTTGGACCTCAGAAAACACAGTGGACCAACAGCAGCAGATGACATGGCACCCCAAACCATCACTGACTGTGGAAACTTTACACTGGACTTCAAGCAACGTGGATTCTGTGCCTCTCCTCTCTTCCTCCAGACTCTGGGACCTTGATTTCCAAAGGAAATGCAAAATTTACTTTCATCAGAGAACATAACTTTGAACCACTCAGCAGCAGTCCAGCCCTTTTTGTCTTTAGCCCAGGCGAGACGCTTCTCACGCTGTGTCTTGTTCAAGAGTGGCTTGATACAAGGAATGCGACAGCTGAAACCCATGTCCTGCATACGTCTGTGCGTGGTGGTTCTTGAAGCACTGACTCCAGCTGCAGTCCACTCTGTGAATCTCCCCCACATTTTTGAATGGGTTTTGTTTCACAATCCTCTCCAGGGTGCGGTTATCCCTATTGCTTGTACACTTTTTTTCAACCACATCTTTTCCTTCCCTTCGCCTCTCTATAAATGTGCTTGGACACAGAGCTCTGTGAACAGCCAGCCTCTTTAGCAATGACCTTTTGTTTCTTGCCCTCCTTGTGCAAGGTGTCAATGGTCGTCTTTTGGACAGCTGTCAAGTCAGCAGTCTTCCCCATGATTGTGTACACCTACACCTACAGAACTAGACCATTTAAAGGCCTTTGCAGGTGTTTTGAGTTAATTAGCTGATTAGAGTGTGGCACCAGGTGTCTTCAATAATGAACCTTTTCACAATATTCTAATTTCCTGAGATACTGAATTTGGGATTTTCATTAGTTGTCAGTTATAATCATCAAAATTAAAAGGAATGAACACTTGAAATATATCAGTCTGTATGGAATGAATGTACAAGTTTCACTTTTTGAATGGAATTACTGAAATAAATATACTTTTTGATGATATTCTAATTATATGACCAGCACCTGTATGCATGTCGACTGGCTAACCCTACCTGCTAACACATTGCCCATGTGTTACAACGCTATTGCAAACTGTAGCGTATCACATACATGCAAAATCGCTGTTTTGCGTACAATAGACACGTCTTTTCCAAAGCGTGTATATGTGATGCCTGGGATGTGATCGGGTTGGGCTCACAGCAAAACACAGACCCACGTAAGGATTCAAAACAACAATAAAGGTTTATGTGCTGAAGCCCATCAGACCAAACAGGTCCAGATGATGTCGAGTAAGAACAAAGTGAGCATTTGTAAAGATAAAAAGTAAAATATTTACCTTTGAGATGTGGTGAAGAAGAAGTAGAAAGTGACATGATAAGAAAACACTCGAGTTCAGTACAAATACCTTGTGTACTTAAGTAGCTACAGTAGCCTAGTACTTTGTTACTGTCCACCACTGGGCTAAGCTTTGGCAACCTGAAACTAAGGAAAGGACTAGAGATGTATTTCTATATTTTGGCTCTGGACAGAAAGCGGTCATCCATTATGATGGTGAAAATAGCTGACCTTGAGCCACAGTGTTTTAAGTGGGAGCCCCCTACCCCTCATCAAGGCATTAAAATATGCAACAAACAAAACACCATTCATAAGCTGAAAAGTGTAGCCTACTCACACACACATCTTGGATTACCTACTGTAGGTCGATGTGTACAGAGCACTGCTGTTCAGTGGACTCTTTTGGGGAAAAATTTCTTTTTAGTTTTGATACATATTTTGAAATACATGTTTATATAAATAGTCTTTTATCAGATTTACCTATTGTTATCATTTCTATTTGTACGGCTTAGTTATTAACTATAGGTAAAATCTAACTGCTAGTAAAATCCTGAGAGAATTGGCAAGGGCAGAGGGGCCGCTGCTGCAAATATTTGAGTGGCTCCTCCTCTAACACGCCTTATCTCACTCCAAACTTTTGATAAAACTTGAGAGCCCTGCTTATCATCCAATACAATTAGCTGTGCTGACATTGCTGAGCCTCCGGTGACAGATACACAGATAGTAACTGAAAGCAGCATGCAAGCTAACGCTGTAGCACGTCGATTAATGCAGTAAATGTACTGCGATCGTGGAACGAGCATGGATTAGTTCAACCTGCGTTGAAGTAACAGAGCCTGAACATGTCTGGAGAAAAGCCACAGCTTGCATGCTGGTGTTTCTGCGTTTATTGTGGTATTTCTGTATGAAAGCGGTTGTGTTTCGGATTATGCTCGCTCATGAGTTCAAGCAAGCACGCGTACGAGCACACGCCTGGTAGCAATCTTAAAACCGCACCGCTAGTGGCCGCTGGAAACTCCATAAGGCCCCTTTAAAGTTGTATGCTGGGACCAGGGTCGGATTGGCCATCTCGCAATTCTGGCATATGCCAGAGGCCATTTATTTAGGGGTGAGGGTTGAGGCGCCCAACTATATTTGGTGACCCATTTAAGCATTTTGCAGAAAAACGCTGAGAGAAATGATCATCTAAGACTCAGACGGTGGATATTTCACAAGCACGGACCAGGTAAAGCAACAGTGAACACTTTGGTGCAGGTGCAACTGGGTACAATGTTGGTTCGGTTTCAATTGGCTTCCTCATTAACAATCCTCCTCCAAGCACCCGCGGGTGAAAACTGTATTGCGGGTGGAAATCACGAGTGCAGTGTCATTTCATCCACTTTATAAAACAGCCTACTGCTGATGGAGAAAGTCAACAGGGCCGAAAAATACAGGGAGAGAGAAAGAAAGAGGCAGGGCCAGTGCAGTGAGGAAGGATGCTACTGTAGGCCTAGCAGACACAGAGAGGGGTGTGGTAGAGGTAGGAAGAAAACAGTTGCACAAAAATGTTCGGGTTGTAATTAACTCTGCAGTAGAGGAAGACAGTAACAGCAGACAAACAGACAGAGAGCACACAGACTCTACATGCTCAGATGGACAGCCATTGTTTTAACTGCATGTATAACTTTGTTATAAATGTGTGCTCTTAAAAAACTATTGAGCATTGTGTACCAGCCACATACATGAAATGTTACAAATCTGTTAACATTGGTGTCATTTACACTGGACATCGTTTTTTGAAAGTGAAATTGGTTAAAATATTTTCTGAAAAAGCTTGGAACAAGAAATGTTAAATCACAAATGAAAATGCGTTGAGAAAGGTTTATTTGCACAATAAGAAAGTAACTTAAGTTAAAAAAAACAAGCTACTGATTTTACTGCACAACATTTTATTTTATTATTTTGAATTGTCACCTGCTACCTGAATTTTGTGCTGCCATTCATATAAATAAAGACATTTACTCCATAAATTGGTGCAGAAAATGTCTCCAGAATGCAGGAAATTAAGTGTTTAATGCTCAAAATTATATATTTCATCATCGAATATTTCTTAGAATAGTGTTAAAATATCTTCTCGTCTTGTTCTCGTGACCAAAGTCTTTCATCACACCCCTATTCTCAGGCCTTATGTCCCCACCTCTTTTCAACTATTGTTTCACCATTTGCACACAAATGTAATTACACATTTGTGTGTACAGTGGCAAAACAATATCCAATAATGTATTTTTTTATGCAAATTCTGAAAGTATTCATTATTGGTCACTTGATAGGCACAGGTCTTGTTATATATCACCATTAGCAGTGGAATGAAATACATGTTTTCCACCAGGGCAGTAAAATGTGACGTTTAGCTGCTGATCTGAGCTTCCCTGCTGTTACCGTTGCATTACCAATAATATTCATAAGCTGTCAGGAAGCTAACGGCACATTTCTGTCCACCTAACAAAGTCATAACAGAGCGCTGGAGAAGAACTACATGAAATTACAATCCAACTACATATTTTTTCTACCAGCGCGGTAAATGTTTAGCTGCTGATCTTAGCTCCGATACTGGAAGCTGCCGTTTTATTGCCAATTAGCGATCAGCTAATTGTCATGAACTAACAGACAAAGCCAAAACAGAGCGCTGGAGAGAGAGAGAGTAACTACATGTAATTAATCCAACTACAGATTTTACACCACAAGCCAAAGCATAGCGCTGGAGAATAAACCAATCCAGCTAATGTTACGTGTTTTCTACCAGGGCATTAATTTCAGCTGATGCTTCCATGCTCTAAGCTAACCATACGGTTTTATTGCCTATTAACTTTACTGATCAGCTGATTGTTTCAACGTAACCGGCAATGCCAACCCACAGGCTGGAGAGTAACTAGGCGACATGAAATTAATCCAGCTATTTACACCACTGACAGGGGAAACATGTCACAGCTCTCTGTGATTATGGCCAGCTTCTAGCTAAAGCTATCAGTTTTCATTTGCACCACTAAAGTCTGACAAACTTAAGTTAATTACCTGTCCAGCAGAAAACAGACTACTTCAACACCGCTTTGAAAACATCTGTCCCACATAATAGTCTTCCATTTGGGAAAATCCACAACATTGATTTCTGCCATCAGCTGTCTTTATCTGTCCCGACTCTGTGTGGCTTCATGCTATAACGATCCACAGACTGTCGGCTCTCATGCTAAATAACGCGTGTGCTCATTTCATTTGTCCAAATGACAACATGGATCTTATATTGCATTTCTGTCAGTAGATCCTCAGAAATAGTACACACTGAACCTTTAAAGTATGGAGCCTGTAAAAAAATTTCAATTCAAAATGGCAGACTTCCTGTTGGGTTTAGGGCAGTGGTCACTAACAGGCGTACCGCGGTCCGCGTCCTGACCTATTCGCTATCCTTTCCGAACCGACCCACAGCCGATTTATTATTGAGACTTACTACCTCGTGACGGAGCATTTCTTTTTTAACCCGCGCAGCTTTTCTAGCATTTACTGTACTGGTTTAGCGACCCAGGAAACTCACAGACCAATCGCATGTGCTCCAATCGTCTCATGTGATGCTGCTCAGCCAATCAAATCTGTGCATTCCAATAAGTATTGCGAGTTAAGCCGCGAGATTCACTAGAGAAGTTTTGTAAACACACACAAATTGAGGAGACGAAAGACAAAAGAGATTTCACATGGCTTTTAATCATGAATGTACAGATTCTTACATGTACATTCGTGTACATCATTTCAAGCTACAGTTTTTATTCATTTTTTTCTGAAATTAGTCTTTATTTTAGTTTACTTAAATTTAGAATTTAGAGTAGTTATTATTTATTATCCCTCCAGTTTGATGTGAAAACTGACAGTAAATATACTTGAAATATTTGATTTGACAGTCGGTTGTTGACTAAAAATATATGTTGATTGTCAATGTATTATTATTGCACAGCAAAAATAAGTTGATGGGATTATTTCTCTAAAGTACGGGCCCATAAATCCCCTAAAAATTACCATTCAAAATGGCCGACTTCCTGTTGGGTTTAGGGAACCACTCCCAGGGGCGTATTTGTAGGTTTGTTTCAATTTTGTGCAAAGTTTTGTGAGTTTCGTTAAGAATAAAATGTTATTATGACAGATAACAATTAAAAATAACAACAGTTACAGGGGTGTAGAATGTGAAATTTTTTTTGTCTTTTCTGTTTCTCAGGACCAGCACATCCGATCTCATCGTTTACCTCGGACGTGACTCCCAGGAGCTCTCGAACCCTAACGAGGTGTCGCGGACTGTTTCCAAGATCATCATAAATCCCGACTATGACGCCTACTCATACAACAACGACATAGCCTTGTTGCAGCTGTCCTCACCTGTTACCTTCACAGACTACATCAGCCCAGTGTGTTTGGCAGCAGATGGCAGCGTCTTTAATTCAGGGACGACCTGCTGGGTCACCGGATGGGGAAACATCCAAGATAACGGTGAGAATTGTTATTGTCATTTTTAAATGTATTGTTAAAATTGAATGATTGCATGTAGTAATTTAGTTTTAATTGTTGTGTTTTGCAACAACATGTTGCAAAGGCGCCATTTTTGATCAGATTCTGATTCACACCTTTTACTGGCTTCTTCTCCATCTCATTATGCAGCCGAGGCTTCTGGGTATTGTATTGTATCTCAAAAGCTTTGAATATCCTGCAAAAGTTCCTTTGAGCTTTGCAGGAAACGTTTGCAGGTGTTTTGAGTTAATTAGCTGATTAGTGCTCTTCTTAGGTCGACATTTCGACATGTAATCATCAAGATTAAAGAGTAAAAATACATAAAAATATGTGCCTCTGAGATGTAGCAGTATGGTTGTATAGAGTAGCATAAAATGAAAATACTTAGGTAAACTATCTGTCTATCTCTAACTATCTCACAGTGGGCAAGTTCAGCACCGACAAAACGTAGCAAAACATTTGCCCCTGGCGGCTGTTCCGCCAGTGTATGAATGTGTATGACTGGTGAATGTAGTGTAAAAGCGCTTTGAGTGGTTGAAAAGCCTAGAAAGGCGCTATACAAGAACAGAGCATTTACATTTACAAAAATATGTATGTCTCTCAACACTGTCTGACTTCCTGTCTATGGCTCTCAGCTCCGAGCCCATTGGTTCCTACTGAAGACAAACATCTTTAAAAACACCTTACAAATATTTCATGTTTAAAAAGGCTCAGTAATTTCCTAAAACAGTTGCTGACTGTAGTTTCTATCAGACAAACAGGAGGATATAGTGCATTAGTTGGGGACTACGTGAAGTTGGAAACCACGTGAGTATTTGGGACAGCAGGACAGTGTCTGTGGGACTGAGTCAGAATAAACTGCAGTGTGTGTGTTCATAGTGAACATGTGAACCAGGGCAGCAGAGAGTGTCTAGAAGAACAAGATCAGGCTGTGAGACACATAGTGTTGACAACAAGAAAAATACAGACTCAATTTAGGTCTCTTTTCTTTTTCAGTTTCACTTCCTTACCCAGACTATCTGCAGGAGGTTAGTGTTCCCATCGTGTCCAACAGTGATTGTAATGCTATATACGGTTTAATCACAAACAACATGATGTGTGCCGGTTTCCCCCAGGGAGGAATGGACGCCTGCTACGTGAGTTTTTCTGCAAACCACTCTTCAATCAGCACTAATCAATAGACTTTCCTCTTTGATAAAGCTTATAGTTAGGGCTGGCTCAGGTGACTCCTGAACCATCCCTTAGTTATGCTGCTATAGGCCTAGACTGCCAGGGGATTTCCCATGATGCACTGAGCTCCTCTCTCCTCTACTTTCTCTCCCTCTGTATGCAACCTCATCCCATTACTGCATGTTACTAACTCAACTTCTCCCCTTTCCGGTAGTCTTGGAGCTGTGGAGTCTGGATCTGTGGTTGCGAGTCACCTGCTTCCCCCGTGTTCTTGTTTGACACCCTCTGCCATAATTGTTATTACTAGTCCTATTGTTGTTATTATTATAATTAACATTACTATAATTATCCATACAATTATTAATTTTCAGCCTCTACCACTATTACTTTTACTGTCTGTACTTCTGTGCAGATATTGTGTAGACTGCGACCCCCTACCCCTCCAGTCCTCTCTCCCTCATTCTTGCTAGCTCTCTATCTCTCTCTCCCCCCAAACCGGTCGAGGCAGGTGGCCGCCCACCCTGAGCCATGGTTCTGCTCGAGGTTATTGCCTCCTAAAAGGAAGTTATATATATATACCTCAACCTATAATAAAACATCTAAATATATTTGTAAATTACATCTTGTATTTCAAATCTGAATCTGCAAAGTAATTAAAGTACATAGTGTATTGCAGTGAAAAATTTGCCTCTGAATTTAAATTCTCACTACAGGGGGATTCAGGCGGCCCGTTGGTAAGTAAAACTGGCTCTATCTGGGTCCAGGGAGGAGTGGTGAGTTTTGGAGTACCCTGTGCTCTGGCCAACTTCCCCACAGTCTACACCCGAGTGTCCCAGTTTCAGTCCTGGATCAACAGCCAGATCACCACCAACCTGCCGGGCTTTGTCGTCTTCACGGGGAACACTTCAAACTCTGACAGCGCTACAACCTCTGAGAGCAGTTTTACCTCTGGCAGCAGTACAACCTCTGGCAGCACTACAACCTCTGGCAGAACTATAACCTCTGGTAGCACTACAACCTCTGGCAGAACTATAACCTCTGGTAGCACTACAACCTCTGGCAGAACTATAACCTCTGGTAGCACTACAACCTCTGGCAGAACTATAACCTCTGGTAGCACTACAACCTCTGGCAGAACTATAACCTCTGGTAGCACTACAACCTCTGGCAGAACTACAACCTCTGGTAGCACTACAACCTCTGGCAGAACTATACCTCTGGTAGCACTACAACCTCTGGCAGAACTATAACCTCTGGTAGCACTACAACCTCTGGCAGAACTATAACCTCTGGCGGCACTTCAACCTCTGGCAGCACTACAACCTCTGGCGGCACTTCAACCTCTGGCAGCAGTACAACCTCTGGAACCTCTCACCTGGTTTCCCTCTCAGTTCCTCTGCTGCTGTCCATCTCCCTCTTTGTCCTTTCATATTTAATTGTTTTTGTTTAAGGATTACCAAGATGTCTGGTTATAATTTTGATTTGACTATTTTTTCACTTAACTGATTAATTGTTTTGTCTTTAAAATGAAGATGTGTAAGCATGTTAAAATTAGTATGTTATTTGACATTTGAATTGTAAGGTTGTAATAGGTTTGACTGACGTATTAGTAAATAATAGGGGTGTGGAAAGACACTTTGCTCACGAGACGAGACAATCATTTTGAGCATTAAACATCTAATTTCCTGTATTCATGTGAATTCGTCTGCACCAATTTATGGTGGAAACATCTTTATTTATGTAAAGGGAAGCACACTTGGCAGGTGACATTTCAAAATCTGAAACTATAACAGAATCTAAGTTAGTCCAGCTCTCAGTCATTCTTTGCTGCTTTCAGATCGGTTTCTCCTGTTGATGAACTTTTTATTTATTTAATCATCCCTGCTGAGTCAGCACACATGCAGGCATGATTTAGTCTTCCCTTCTCTTTGTGTCTTTGTTTGGGGAAGTCACCTCTTAAAGTGTGCATTCGGCACCTTTTCATCTCAATGAGAATTAATTAATAAGATTAATTCAGTTTTAATTCAGTTAGAAACTCCTGGACTTTAATAGCTCCTGTGTTTCAGTAGGTTTTCTGCTCATATTCAAAACTTTCTGCACATTCAGAATCTCTCCCACAGATCTGTGCTCTGACTGAGCAGTAAGTCGTAATATTACAAGACTAATAGAATAATATTTTAAAAGGCTACCTGCCCTGTACTCCGCTGTGCATTGTGTTATTGCTCTGCTGATAGTTTCCCCTTCAGACTGTTTGGGACTGCGTGTTGCATGTGAAACTAACCAACAACAAATTGTGATCAGGCAGAAATCTCACCAAAAATCAATACATTTTAACTTCAGCACCTCTGATAAAGTGCAGCTCACAGTCCCAAAAAGGGCAAACTTGCGCCTCAGTTTTTAAATGTTTAAAAATTAGAATCAGAATCAGATAACAGGTACAATTTCACAGACAATGAGTTTGCCTTGGTATATTGGGCACATAAACATAAATATGAAAATACAGAAAAAGTACAAAAATCCAAATGTACAAGTGTACAAAAAAATGCTTTATGACCAATAAGGATTAGTGCAATAATGCAACTATACTACCTATGTGACCACTTCTTCACACTATCTGTTGTTATACATTGACGTTAGTTATACATATATATATATTTGTTTTTCACTACATGATAAAATTGATGTTTGGCGTGACAGCGTGTGGATGTCAATCAATATAATAGTTCAATTTAAAAGTTTAAAATTCTATTGTAAAATGTAATTATTTATTTAAAGACAGAATGATATAAAATTAGTTATTGATGAATATGATTCTGTTTTTACACTTCATCATTTAAATAAAGCTCTAAAGAATCAGTTTCACAAAGCTCCTTTTAAAAGTGTTGTATTTATTAATTTTTGGTTGTAATTAAACACTTAAAGATTATAATTACTCCAGACTCCATGAAAGTATTTTTTCATTTCTTTCTACAGGTTTTACCTGATTTATTTCTTTAAGTTTGAATTTTCTGTATTTATGCTCAAATATTTAACATTTGCTATGTGAATATCAGAAGTTTATAAACTTGAAGAATGAGATGTGATGGTGATAACATGTTTTTTTTTATTAATCAGCTATTCATTTATTACTCTAATTAATCCCTTCAGTGTTGTTTTCTCAAATTATAGAAATATCATTCAGTGTGTTGCAGTTCAATATCACAGGTCGGATTTATTGCAGGGCTGTGTAATTGGATCACATTGTACAGTTGTTGGTTTGGTATTGATGCATATGCTGTAATATGTGTGTTATGAAAGACTCATTTCATAAACTGTAAATCATTACAGCCCCATTTAGTTTTATCCGCTTACTTCTTCTTTTACACTGAAAGAGCTCTGACAAGTTTGGGATTTTGAACTCAACTGTATGAGTTTTTCAAAGTTAAACTTGCATTACATCATTGCGTTGACTATTTGAGACTTTTGTCAGATTTATGTCGATTGAACTTGGGTATATAGTAGTAGTTGCTGCGTCTTTTGAGAGAAACAGTTTTCATTAAACCATAGCAAAGTTGAAACATGGATATAGTCAACGAAATATCCACTGCAAACAAGTCATGTATTCAAATTCCAACTTAAATATAGACACTTTTGTCAAACCGTTCTCACTCCTAAGTCGTCACATATGGATGCATGGTAAAGACCCCTGTGGCACATTTAACAGCTGATATTAAATTGTCTGTCTTAAAAGGACAAACAAAAACATTTAAAGACTGTCTCCCTTGTTCTATTTTCTCCCACATATGTGACATAATAGTGCTTGACATTAAAACGCAGAGGCATCTTTTAGAGTAGCATATGAAAAAATTAGAATACCGTGGAAAAGTTTATTGCGAGCACCCGAACCAGACTGAGAGATTAAAGGCTTCAGAAACCTTTGCAGGTGTTTTGAGTTCAATCAATCAATCAAAATTTATTTATAGAGCACTTTAACAGCAATCACAAAGTTGCACAAAGTGCTGTACCAAGAATAAAAAGCAAACATCAATAATGTATACAGTTAAAAACACTAAGAAATGAGTTCCAGTGGTGCCTTTTGTGTAATAAACAAGAGGCTCAAAATCATTAGTCTGTCTTAATTTTTCAGTAATTTACATACAAAAAGTACAAAATATATGAAAATGACAATTAATATAGATTACATAAAGTTATAATTAAAGAAAATAAAAAATTTAGAATGGAAAAAAAGAAGTGTAGTTACGATCAACTTTAGTATCCTCCTATTCAGAAAACCCTAAAGATTACTCAAAGACCCTCAAATTCACTCAGATTAGCCTACTAGAATCATTGGACATTAAATTTAACATTATATTTATATTAAATTATATTTGCTTCTTATTCCAAATTCTTATAGAGAACTGACACATTTTGTTGGAGACCTTTTCCCTTCACTCTCTGGAATCAAGTCTACCGGCCACTTTCTCAAATATAAACCCCTAAAAACAGCCACGTAGGCAACATGGCCGATTTCTGAACTGCGTCATTACAATCTTGGTGTCCAAGGTACTTTTCCATGATATTAAAGTTCAACAAAACAAGTCATTAATCTAAATATCCCTCTTATGTACATGACCCCCCCCCATTTCCTCGAAGAACTTCAGTCTTCCTATGAAACACACAAACCTTTTTTTTAAACTTTGATGGCAACATGGTTCTCACAAGAAATCAAGGGTGAAACATAGAAATTAAGGTAAAACAGCATGATTTGTTTGTTCTCTTAACATGAATATTCTATACGGTACATATACACTTCTTATAACATTTTGTGATAACTGTGATACTATGATAACACTTATAACTTTCAAACTTCCACATCTAGATGTTTTCCTGTTGCTCCAGTAAGGCTTCAGCTGAGGCCTTCACATGTGAACATGTAGTTTCACAGGTCAACATGACATTTTGCATACATTCATTTGGATATAATTTCAGTGATTACATTTTTTCCCCAACTGCTCTCTCGAGTTTGTTTTCTCATGTGCCGAGTGTTCCCGAATGTTTTTGGAATTTGTATCTCGTGTGTCACTTTGTTTTATGGGTTTAAATGTCAAATCGACCTTCTATTTCCCATCTTGTGTATACAGAGCTGTTCCCGGTATCACTTTCACAGCTGCATTTCTCTAAAACTTTATCCTCTCATAGTTCACTGTTTTGGTAACAATGGATATCAAAGGAAACACCTTTACTCTGAAGCTTTGTTATTCCCTTAATTATTTCTTCCAACTTTATAAATGGTTTCTCTGCACTTAGACCTTTAACTACTACATTCCTCCAAATGTCAAACTCAAGGGTCAAAAGCCAGATAGAAGAGATGGGTTTTAAGACAAGTTTTAAAATCAGACAGTGAGGAAGCGTTTTTGGCAGAGAAGTTTGTCAGCTGACCTGATCAAATGGGTAGGTGTATAAGGATGAAGGGGGCAAGGCCATTCAAGGATTTAAAAGTCAGTAAAAGAAGTATAAATTGAATGGGTAGCCAATGGAGTGAACTTAGAACTGGGTGGAGAGAGAGAGAGTTAATTAATTAGTTGATTAGGGAGTTCTTCTCTGTTTGACATTTCTGTGTAATTTACAATACAGAAATGTATTTATTCTAAAATCTTTATCAATTTTGAGATGCTAGAGTTTTTCCATGAGCTGTAAACACAAAAGGGCTTGAAATACTTTACTTTGTGTAAAGAATCTAGAATATATAAAAGATTCACTTGTTTTTCAACAGTTTTTAAAAGACAGTTTGGGGGACAGTTTAACTGGCAGATAGTGGCGCTGCAAATTCAGACATGAGAACCGATCAAAATCATCAGTACAGCATCAAACTTTACTAAACAGCTGTGGCTGGAACTGACAAAGAAACACATTGTGAACATGAAAAACATGCAAAGCAGTACAATTAATATTATTCAACATATAGCCGACCTTTTTACAGAAAATATTCAGATGAAACCCCCGAAGTTATCATGAACATTTTCATAAGTAACTGTGATTTAAATACACATTTTCCCAAAGTAACTGTAACATATTATTTACAGTTAATTTGTAATTAAATTACGTGACTAAACTACATGTAACTAGTTACTTCCCAACACTGGTAACTGGAATATAATATATAATAATATATAATACTTTATTGCCAGGTATGTGAACACATACGAGGAATTTGACTCAGGATTGGACATTGCTCACGACACGAATACAAAATCTCAAGAATAAAAATAAAAATAAAATCAGACACAGACTTCAGTGTAGACAACACAAATATACTGCACAACAGTGCAGTGAGCAGTGTGCAAAGGATGCAGGAGTATGTACATGTCGGAGGTGGATGTGATATACAGGTACATATATATGCATACATGTACACAGTGCAATGAAGCATAGTGCAAAGGATGCTGGAATAAATAGGTGTAAGTATTTGTGCAGGAGTTACGACTTGAGGTAGGTGGATTTGGTATACAGTATCTACAATATGACAATATAACAGTATGAACAGCACTGAAATAGAGAATGGTGCATAAATAATAAGTGTTAGCCAGTAAACAGGTGGCTGATTAGAGACACAGTTACTGGGTTATTGCACAGGAATTGTTCCTGACACTGTGAATCAGAAATCAGCTGTTCATCAGAGCGATGGCTTGTGGGAAGAAACTGTTCTAAGTATGTTGGTTTTGGTGTACAGTGCTCTGTAGTCCCTACCAGAGCGGAGAAGCTGGAACAGATGCTTTTCTGCAGTCCTGACTGTCCGTTGTTGTCTGCTCCTGTCCTTTCTGGTGGCAGATCCAGGCTGGCACAGTGAGCTGGGTGAGTTTGGTGCTGAGGATGTCAGGAATGATGGTGTTGAACGCCGAGCTGAAGTCCACGAACAGGATCCTTGTATATGTCCCTGGAGAGTCGAGGTGTTGCAGGATGTAATGCAGTCCCAAGTTGACTGCATTATCCACTGACCTGTTATGCGGCATTCAGACCAAACGCAAATTTAATCCACGCAACGCTCTCCTCGTGGGGGTTTTATCGCTGGACAACTGCTGAGTGTTCACACACAATGCGATAACGCGAATAAACACAACTCGCCATTACTACAGCTGTATGAATCCAAAGCAAAAATTTTGCTGTGATTAAATAGCAATAAACGAGTAAAACTGATGCTGAAATAACTACAATATGATGCAGATTTGTTAAACATATGAATTCAAGCTTTGTCAGGTCTGTCAGCAGAATGAAATTGTTTTCTGAATGGAGTTCGGATCGATCAGGGCTATTCTATGCTAACTTGTACACAGTAAAGTACAGCGATACCTGGAAAGTTACATACACATGTTTTCTTAACTCACCAGGCAGCACTCAACCTCCTCGCTTTCTTCTCCCAGCAATGTCCAGTTTTGTCCGGTTTTTATATAAATATGAAGTAGTGCCAAATGACACCAACAACACTGGAACCGGATGTGCACGGAATCTAGCTGCTGAGAAGCTCGAGTGAAGATAAATCAACATTGTAATCCCAAAAATTTCAGTAAAAAGCTAATTCAATAAAAGCAGTTAACTCCGAGCTCCTCCCACGAGCAAACAGCGTAGTTGAGCAGAATCCAGTCCAACTCCAGGTGTTCTTGTCCAAAAGCTGGAGCACTGCTCCCTGCTCTTTGGCAGCTCACTCTGCCTGGCCATCTCCACACCACGCTCTGAAAATGATCTACTCACGCAAATTCATTCGCGTTGCCGGCACCGCCCCAGATTTCAGCGCACCAGGACTGTAGTCATTTAATCCAGAGATGGAGGGTATTTTGGGGACCAGGATGATTGTGGAGCGTTTGAAGTAGGAGGGCAGCTCCTGTTTAAGATCTGTGTGAAGATGGGGGCCAACTGGTCTGCACAGACAGGATGGAGACACACCGTCGGGGCCAGGAG